GTTTTTAAAAATTTTTTTTTGTTGGGGGTGGGGGGGGGGGGGGGGGGATTACCGGTACAGTATTTGAAATAGGAGCGTTTTGAAACAAATTAAAAGTCCTAACACAAAGCACCACTGTATCTTTTCGCTAGGAATTGTTTGGTTGTCTTGTCATTGTGAGAAGCAACTCCACTCATTTTCTCAGCTAACCATGCAGTTTGTGTGTCCTCAGGGTTTGAGTTTCCACCTAGGAGCCGTGCTGCTCTCTTTAGGCTTCATCACATATGTTGAACATGGTATGAATATTTTCTTGTGCATTATTCGAGTGTAGGGATGAATGAGTACCGATATCATGCTTAACATTTAATAGTTGACTTATTTTATAATGCAGTTCAATTTATGAGAAACACATACTAAAACTCTTGAGTTTTATTTTCCACTTTTGTTAACTGGTTAATAATGAATCCTAAATTCAGAGAGCTGTTAGTGTTTTATTTTGCAGTTTAATTCTCTATTCCATCCTCTTATCATAAATAAACGAAATGTATTTCTTTAAAATGATGTTGTTGGTTTTATTCAAATGGTTTAATTGTAATGTTAATCGATCAAAAGCACTAGTGGTATCGGTTATTTAGCATCAGTCACGGTGAACACACAATGGTTGAGTAATCATACTGGCACTGGTCTGGAAATGAAGTGGTATCGAGCGTCCCCATTATGTTGTATAGTTCTAAATTGCACATTTGTTGATTTAGTTGTTATCGGGGCATTTGATGAAATATTGGGTTTTGTTTTGTGTTTTACAGTATATGTGTTGGCCCAAACTGCATTTCCTGATGTACAGTATCAGGAATACAGTACGATTCTTTGGTATATTCAACATAATGTAACAGGCACGTTGTTGCACTTCACAAAACATTTTGAATTTGTCTTTCAACTGAATTGTAAAAGGAAGTAGAATTTTGGAAGGTTGAAAAAAAAAGGACTACTCAATGAATGTACCCCTGTAGCACATTTCTCACCACATGCAAACACTTGCATCTCGAAACAGATGACACACCATACAGTCATGCTTTATGGTAAATTTGTACCGCAAAGGTTTGTGTCATGCTAAAATGTCCATGTCTATTTCTTTCTTCGTCTCAGTCTTAAGAAAGAGACTCGCCATTATCTTCAGCGCCTGTGTCCTTTCCAGACCTTGCCCCACCAACTGCAGCCATCAGCACAAGAAGGTACAGTGCCTTCTACTCAAATCTTATCCACTAAGAGCAAAATGTCAGATGAGAGTGCCTGTGGACTGATGGCATCTTAATAATATTGATTAAAACTTTAATTAAAATCGATTAAATCTTTCAATAATCCTCTTTATTTGCCAAATTAAGTAGAGTAACCACTCAATGAAGTTGTCTCTGTCTACCAGTAGTACTATGTTAGTATACTGTACATTATTCACACACAGTATTTTAGGTGACATCACATTTACGCAAATGTGTTTTAGTCCATTTGGTTGTACGCATCTACCCACCCACAGAAGTCCATCAAAAGTGTTCCAAATTAGAGTGAATATCTTATTCTTGTTTTGTCTGATTCAGTGCTCAGTCTTTACCTTTTGTAGGAGTATTGGGTGATGCTGCTGAACCTAGTTTTCAGTTTATTGGCCATCTTCCACCTCACCTACTTGGGTTCCATGTTTGATCCGGGTGTTGAAGAGGAAGTGGAAGAGGTAAGAAGAAGCCAGAGTTAAAGCATGTTAGACATTTTACAAATAGCGGAGCTTGTGGTCATAACATATGCGAGCCATGTATGTTCCACGATGGTTACTTTCAAATAAATGGGAGCAAGCCTCACCTTTCAATATGGCCCCATTTTTTTTTCTTTATTCTTACCGATGACCGCTTTATGTAGCAACCTGCCTCTTCCTTGACTGACACTCTAATCTTTTTATGGATTAAAACAAGTGAATACGGTACATTATTGAATGAGAAGCCTCAGTGTGACACAAGCAGTGCGTGAGGGGCAAAGTGGCTAACTGTCATTTTTTTCATAACGCAGCATAAAGCGGCCCTAAAGACAATGAATAGCATTTTTAACCGTACTCCCTCATTTATGAGCTGGTTTGATGTGAAACTTTAGTAGATAGTCGTAAATAAACACAGCACAGATACCGCATCTCTTGTCACACTACATTTCGTGACTTCAAAGTAACTTGTGGAAATGTTTCCACAGAGAAGTACATTCCAGTCCTGTCAAGGAAGCCGCTGTCATTGAATAAACAGCCCGAGTTACGTAGGCCGACTAGTACTTTTGGTGATGTGCAGTGTTGTTTTGGGAGCAAATGGAATTATGGTTCATTTACAATTGTAATAAATGCTTGTTGTGTTGCGTCTCTCCGCAGGGTTATGCAGCTATCCACACCATTCAGAGATGGTCGGAACTTAGCTGGGCAAGCCACTGGGTGGTATTTGTCTTCTGGGTTTTCTACCGTTTAATCCTGTGATTTTATCAAAGTAGTGCTCACTTGCTGGCAGTCATACTCTCAGTCTAGGGTCATGGACTTGCTGTGATCTGGACAAAGGGAACCCACGTGTCGATGACTGAGTCAACCCTTTTTCCTGATCATATGAGATGGAAGTCGGAGAAGATGGAGTCAAGTTACAAATGTTTCCCGTAATATTTGGAATTGTGATTGTCACCATCCACCGTTTGTACTGTATATGTCCCGTTGAATCAAGCATTAATTTCAAAATGCAAATGTTTGTCTGACAGGCTAGTATGATGTATTTATTTGGATGTGATATACAGTATTCACATGTTAAATAATATTCATGTTGAAGGTACTTGGATATTAGTTAACATATCAAATGGTTAACATTCACATCATTTGTTTTTATCATTGCCTTTTGTATTTCGTCAATTAAATCTATGCATATTAATGAAGATTTGCTTTTTTTTTTTTTTTTTTTTCTAACAACCAAATTGTTCCAAGACAGTCACTCAAGTGTGGAGCCGTATCACCCTCTTGTCAGTGGTTCTCAACGTTTGTCACCAAGGGATCCGCAACAGGCTTACTTGTCAAAGTGTCTTTCAAGAGAACCTCATTAACCCTTGTGTTTTTTTTTTCTTTGGTAAACCGAAAATGTTCATTGTCCTCTGCGGCATATCTAGTCATTGCTGATCTATTAAAAAAATAGTAATAATAATATTATGGTCCGTCAATTCGAACTGCTAGACCTCTATACTGTGCTTAGTTCCCACATACAACACTCTAGGTACAAAACAGGTAAGTGGTTTGCCACTCAACTACACTATAAACAAACAGTGTAGCTCAGCCTCTAGATGTGGACGTCATGGATAGCAATATGCCTTTGTTGACAGAAATCCTGGACCCGGTGTTCGAGTGGTTAGCGCGCCTCACAGTGCAGAGGTCCAGGGTTCGATTCCGACTCCATCCTCCCTGTGTGGAGTTTGCACGTTCTCCCAGTGCCGGCGAGGGTTTTCTCCGGGCACGACGGATTCCTCCCACGTTCCAAAAACATGCTTGTCAGGTTAATGGAACACTCTAAATTGTCCCTAGGTGTGAATGTGAGTGCGGATGGTTGTTCGTCTCTATGCGTCCTGCGATCAGCGTGTCTCCACCTACTGCCGGGCAGACAACTGGTGTAGGCTCCATGACCCTGTGCATTTCTTGTGAGGATAAAGCGGTTAGGAAAATCGATGGATGGATGAAAAAAAAGTGCCATTGCTGACTGTTTGCCATTACTGTTTCATTTCTCCAAAAGAAGACAAATTATTGGTGTTTCACTTTCAGAATGATAAGATATAAGTCAAATTTTATGTTCGTCTTTTGTGCAGTTGGATGTATTCATTTTTGTACATGTAGGGGCCACGTTGATTCAGAGTTTCTTAAATAGATTCTGTGTTTTTGGGTGCAATTCACAGATGTGCCCTTTTTCCAAGAGTATAATTAAATAATTGTTTAAGCCTAGTTTTATTTCTTGCTTTTATAGATTTTAAAATGGTTTTTCATTTGCATTATATTGATTGATTGATTGACTGACTGATTGGGGGAGTGACAATGGCGGAGAATGTTTTCGAGATTTTACAAATGGAAAAAAACTGTTTCTGTAGTTATTCTTGTCTTTGTTTTTATGGGTGCACATGCCATTCATCCATCCATCAATTTTCATACCGCAAATGTGAAGTAAATGACATGAGGAGGTTGAAATTTGTTTTTGCCTGCAGTTCCCTCGCCTGGTCACAGGGGGGCGTTGCAGACAGGTTTCTGTCCATGGTACTGAAGGTTGAACTCGAACTGTCCACTCAAGTGTTTTCTTTCCAAGGCGCTGAATTGGTCCGAGTGATTGGGTCTTTTCTTGCTGGGCTGGCCGAGGGATGGAGGCCAAGTTCTAAAGACACACTCGAGCGCTCCATTAGACATCGCTACGTGAAGCTGGCGATGTCGACAAGGAGGGGGAGGGGAGGGCATTAGTCTGAACCTAAGGTAAGGCTTTATTTCTCTCTGACAAAGACGAGGCACGAAGCGCACTGTTTGACTGGGTTTCCGAAGGCCCCGTTTGGCTTCCCAGCGGTTCTTGTACGTTAACTGTGGACGACGTCCGTGGTGTCGGTCGACCCACTTTTCACCGCTACTGGCGAATCATGAGCGTTTGGTCCCGAGGATGCTTTCCAAACGACATTAATCGCCGCTGATGGTGAGGCAGTGGCAACAATGGCGACTCCGTGCCAAAAGCCAGTCGAGTTAATAGTTTGTCGCGGAACGCGTTGTTCCGCGATGGTTTGCGCTTATTTTTTCCTCTCCTGGTATAAATAACAACAAGAAATAGCTCGCACAGGGAGACAGGCCTGTGTGGGGCTGAGCAACCAATTTCTGTCGGCCAAAGTCATATTTGGGTTGTGACTTCTGAGTAGAAATTTCGTGTTTCGTTGTCAGGGATCAGCCCCGTCATTGCTAAGTCACTTTCAAGCAAGAAGATACTTTTTAAAGCCACTTGCCCTGTTTAAAATTGTCTGCTTCTGACGAGTCATGTTTGACACGCTCACATTATCCATTCAAGAAGCACTCCACATGAAATTCAATCTCCTGCATGACCTGTGAATGCAGACTGAGTCAAGCACTATTGCTATTCGACATAACACCTAGTGGACGCTTAGAGATTTAATATTCTCATAAATCCTTTACATGCCGAATACAAAATTGTGTTTTTCCCACAAATGCATTACGTGCATTTAAAGGTGAAGTAAGCTGTGCAAAAGTGTGGAGGGTGTTTGTGCGGCTCGAGTTAGAGGAAAAGTATGAGTGTAGAATCCTTTCGCCAGGAAAAGTGTGGGTGTTGACGAACCACCCACAACCCCCAGGGATGTGACGCCTTTGTGAGCATAATAGCAGCACAAAATGCTCAATATAGTATCGCTTGTGAGCTGCTCCTTTTGTCAGCCTAAAACACTTACCCATCCATGTGCTGCACCGCTTCTTGTTCAGGGTCAGGGGAAGCTGGAACCTATCCAAGCTGACTTCGGGCAAATTGCGGACTGAAGCTTGGACTGGTTGCCAGACAGTCACAGAACATACACTGTATAGAGAGGGACAAGGGCTTTCACACTCACATTCTTTCAAACTCACATTCATCACTGAGTGGGAATTGAACCAGGAGTGCTTGCATGAAATTCAGGTGAGCCAACAGTTACACGATCAGTTAATTGGTTCTGAAATATTGGCCTTTTTTTCCTGCAAGAAAGCTGAAGAAAAAAAAAAAAAAAAATACTACTAAGGGTCCGATCAGATTCGGATGCGACAGTATTTGCTTGTTATCAGGAGACTGCTTTAGTGTGCTCTGGTCCATTAAACAGCACAGGCCTACAGTCCTCACTTGATTGTTTTTTTATTCATTTTTATTTTTGCTTGTTCACCTGAATTTTATAGAGTTTTAAGTTGTAGTTTGCCCTTTGAAACAAGTGATTTTCCGCTGAACTTAAAATTGATTAGATGATGGTTTCTTAAAGGGACAGTTACCCCATAAAAAACAGGGTGGACAGGATTTTAAAGACTCATGCAAAATATACAATATGATTATGACAGTAAAACTTTGTAAGAATGTGTGATTTAGTAATGGATACTTTTTTTGGAATAAAATGATAGAAACACGTTTTAAGATAAAGGATAGTGTGCATTGTTGTCTCTATCTGTCCTGCTCCTGACTGTCAACCAGTCCAGGATTTACTCTGCCTCTCACCAAAATCAGCTGCCATAGGCTCAAGGTCACCCGAAATCCTAATGAGGAAAAAGATGCGACAGTATTTGCTTGTTATCAGGAGACTGCTTTAGTGTGCTCTGGTCCATTAAACAGCACAGGCCTACAGTCCTCACTTGATTGTTTTTTTATTCATTTTTATTTTTGCTTGTTCACCTGAATTTTATAGAGTTTTAAGTTGTAGTTTGCCCTTTGAAACAAGTGATTTTCCGCTGAACTTAAAATTGATTAGATGATGGTTTCTTAAAGGGACAGTTACCCCATAAAAAACAGGGTGGACAGGATTTTAAAGACTCATGCAAAATATACAATATGATTATGACAGTAAAACTTTGTAAGAATGTGTGATTTAGTAATGGATACTTTTTTTGGAATAAAATGATAGAAACACGTTTTAAGATAAAGGATAGTGTGCATTGTTGTCTCTATCTGTCCTGCTCCTGACTGTCAACCAGTCCAGGATTTACTCTGCCTCTCACCAAAATCAGCTGCCATAGGCTCAAGGTCACCCGAAATCCTAATGAGGAAAAAATGGAACATAGAAAATGGATGGATAGCCTTTCACTTGTATTACAGTTTTTTACCTTCAAAGTACTCAAAACACCCTTCATTGATGACACAGCATCAGGAGCAATAGAAGTTTCAATATCTTGCTCAAGGGCACTTGGTCACAAAGGTTCAGAATCGAACCCACAACCTTCAGGTTGGGACAGAAACCACCACTCTAGCACCTCAGCCATGTTGTGTCTATGCATGCGTACCACATGTGCTAACAATATGATATAAAGTTTATAACAATGAAATGATCAGCGTTTGCCGGAGTACATATCTGTAATACATCTTTATTTTTATAGTGCTTTCACAACAGCTGCAGCTGGAACAAAGCACTTTCCACAACATTTAACATAAAAAAAAGATAATACAATGGAATGCATAACATACAGCATCAATTGCATTCACGTTTTATTTACATGAGAGTTAACAGGATTTTATGTTTATGTAGAATATGGGAAAGAAGCTGTTGGTATTGAACCTGGGAAGGGGCTTCTTGTGTTTGATTAACTGATATCTTTGATGGGTTAATCTGTACAGATTATCCCATGTACATGCGAATGTAACACGCGTGTACTACTAATGTCCATCTGCTGTCCAGATGAGCCAAGACACTACAGAGACACGAACACGAACACGTTCCAAAGGCATTCGAGGTCAGTAAAAAACTTTTTTTCAAACTCACATTTGCCTGTTAGAACACTGGCAAAGTGTCAGTCAAATGAGTGTTTCAATGTTTTTGGTTTTTTTTCAGTTTTGTCAGAACTCTCAGGACATGACATGAAGCATGAGCTGACGTGAGTGATTTTTTTTCCTCCTCTACATTTGTATTAATGCTTTGTGAATACTTGCTAATGTGCTACGGTTTTGATGTGTGTCAGTAGCAGTTGTCCAACGCCTGGGTGTGATGGCAAAGGTCATGTCAGTGGAAGATACTCAAGGCATAGAAGGTAGGACTGGATAGCCGGTATGAATCCCTACAGTGCCCAAGGCAGATAAGAATTATTATGAGCCAGTATGTAATGTTTTAGTGCACTGGGATGTCCAACGGTGAAGAAGAGAAAGCTGGAGGAGGCAGAGGCTGAGGAGAACCAGTCTTCTCCCAAGAAGAAGGGTCAGTCCAGCTTAATGGAGGCAGAAGAAGACTTATCCATAAACAATGACGAGGATGAGGAAGAAAAGGATGAGAAAAATGAGAAAGACGAGGAGGACCTCAAAGAGGAGAAAAATTCAAACACCAGACCAGACTCAATAAAAAGTGAGTCAAAGCATATCGTACAGTCCCCACCAAAAATATTGGGACGGCAAGTTGTTTTTGTTGGATACTGAAGACATTTGGGTTTCAGATCATTAGATGAATATAAGACAAACGTTCAGAATAACAGCTTTATTTTATGGTATTTATATTTAGATCTGTTAAACAACTTAGGACAGAGCACCTTTGGTTTGAAGCCACTCACTACACCATAAACAAACAGAGGAGAAGTATTGGAACAAACATTGTTAAATGAACTTGAAGGGATATTTTCCCCAAAACACACTGCCAACACAACAAAGGGCTTCGACAGGGGTTGCCAGTCAATTGCAGGGAACACAACCAACCTTTCACACGTAGGGACAATATACCGTGTTTAATTAATCTACCATGCATGTTTTTGGTATGTGGTACGAAACCAGAGTATCCAGAAAACCCACACAGGCACGGACGGGGATAACATGCAAACTCCACACAGAAAGACCAGATCCCGGAATTGAACCCCAGACCTTTGTACTGTGAGGCACACGGGCTAACCAGTCATCCACCGTGCCTCCCATGTGTAGCACATCTAGATGTTAATACAATCAAATAAAAGGTGGCATTTCAACATTCATCGTTTGATCTGAAATCCCAATGTCTTCAGTATACACCAAAAAAAGGAATTGAAATTGCCCTTTCAATAATTTTGGATGTGGCTGTTTTATATTATATTATAGATTGATGTGTACCACAGCTTTACATATTTGATTCACAGAAAACAGCTGCCCATTGATCAAAGAAGACACAGCAGTTGCAGAAACAGTTGTTTGCGCTCCAACTAAGGATGAGGAGAACATCACCTTAGAGGTTGAGAATGTAGTTGTGACTGAGGAAACTAGTAGGAGTGAGAAATTGGCAAGAGAGGAACAACTGTCTGATACCGAACAAGACAAAACAGACACAACACCAAAAATTGAAGACAAGCAACAGACAGCAGAGCACCCTCAGAGAGACTTCGAGAGAACTGAGGTTGAACATACAAAAGAGGAGGAAGAGGAGGAGGAAGCAGAAGAGCAGACTGAAAAAACAAATGGTTTTGTAGGGGACAGGGAAGTGGAAAGACAGTCAATAAGCCAGGAAAACTCTGATCACCAGTACTCCACTGGACATTACATCCATCATCAAGTCAATGAGTTAGCACAGGACCAGAGAAAGAACGAGGAGAAAGAGGAGGAAGAAGATGAGAGGGTCCAAGAAGTTGATACCCCTTACTCAATGAGTCCACGCAGTCAAGGATCTCAGGAGTCTCTTGAGACAGAAAAGGTCTGCACACCCACGACTGAGGAAGAGGCATACGAAGCGCAGCAGGAGAGGGAAGAGGACGAGCGTCAGGATGAAGCGGCCAAAGTGGAAGAGGTAGAGGTGGAGGAAGAAGAAGAAGAGGAAGAGGAGGAGGAGGAGGAGGATGGTGTTGAGGACCAAAGCTCCAGCAAATCCTCTCCGACCACAGTGGTAATAGAGGTACGCTCTGAAGAGGAGGAGGATGATGAAGAAGAGGATGATGGCGATGACCGTGACTGTATCTCGGATGGTTCGGGGATCACCGACGATTCTGAGAACTGGGATATGACCCGAGGGAACCTGGGGCTGTTGGAGCAGGCCATCGCCTTGAAAGCTGGGGAGGGGAAGGCGGGACAGGAGGCCCAGAGTTCCCAAGACTACCAGTCGTACAGCAGCCCCAGTAAAAGCACAGAAGCAGCGATTCGACGCAACGCCCAATACAGTAAAGGTAGCCACTGCTTCTCTTTCATGTCTACTCTATGCAGAATATTGACGCATTATTTGTTGATGACATTCTGATATGATCCCAATTGTCCTTGCTCGCATTGATTTGATTGCATTGATTGATTGACTGGAGATTTAAAAAAAAAGATGTCAACACATCCCTTCCGATTCAAATGCCAGATTTTTGTGAGATCATTCATGAAATCATTTGAAAACTTGACCATTAATGTGACCTCTAACCTCTACAACTCAACATTTGCTTAGATGGAAAAAAAGCTGCGGGAATAATGTAGCTGCACAAGTGTACCCACCTTCTTATAAGTGGGGATATGGCTGTGTTCCAAGTTAAGCAGCCACAAACAGAAGTCACCATTTAAAGGGATTGTAAGGTCGGGATTGTCCGTTTTTCACTAACGAGCTCAATTTATGTATTTTTTTCAATCAGGAAAATAATATTAGCTTGTATTTTCAATGTTATTAATTTGTTTCAGAGAAATCAGGAAAGAACTAACTACATTCAAAACTCTCCATGGCTGATTTATAAGACAATGAGGAAAGAAGCAATTTACATGCAGCCTCTGTCATCCTAATCTGTTTTCATTGAAAAGTCACCAAGATATGCAATCACTATGCGTTCTGATAGACGTTTTGTAATCTGATTGTTGTTTGCTTGTTATAAATTAGATTTCAATCTATAAGCGTTAGCTTGACTTACTTTTTTTCCAAGTCCACCTCCAGAGCGTACACCGACACCACTCATCCGAAAATGATGCCCAAAAATTGGCCACACTGGGCTGAAGGGTCCCCCATCCATCGTTTTTCTACACTGCGTGTCCTCATTAAAGTAATTTATCACAACATATTCGTAACTGCTAATTAATCCCTCCTGGCTCTCTTCAGAGAAGAAGGAAGTAAAGTGTCCAACCCCTGGGTGTGATGGGACAGGTCACGTGACGGGACTGTACCCTCACCATCGGAGTCTATCTGGATGTCCTCATAAGGATAGAATTCCTCCAGAGAGTAAGAACAAGACTATACAGAAATCTGACTCTGCTTGTTACAGCTGCCGCTGTTGTGAAAGCGCTATATAAATCAGCATGTATTGGATTGTATTGTATTGTATTTAGCAAACTGTTGTTCAGAGTCAAAATTTTCAGAGTTAAGGCTTGATGTTGTGTTTCAACTATAAATTCTATGTATGGTAATCATATTTCCTCTATTAAAGCTGCAGCTAAAAGTACTACTCCTGAAACTAATACTACTAACTTTGCTAAATATGCCACTACCGTCGGTTGTGTGCGCTACTATTTTATTAGTAAGCTTTTCAACCTAAACAGGCTGAAGAGTTTGTATGTTCTGTGTCTGTAGTCCTGGCCATGTATGAGAACGTCTTGAAGTGTCCCACTCCTGGCTGCACAGGTCAAGGCCATGTCAACAGTAACCGCAACACACACCGCAGGTTAATAATGGACTCACTTGCATGCACACACTCACTGGACAACTGTGGTTGAGCATGCAAGCTAGGAGGTGCTTTGTGTCTTTTACAAAGGATAACTCAAGAAGCACGGGCTCATACAAGGTGTCAGAAAAGTACTCGGATGAGTTTCATAAACGATAGCTCTCAAAGCCGAATTACAAGTTTTCCCCTTCAGTGCGGGTTAGACGTGGGTCTCGTCCTCAGCATGTCTACAAAGAGGCGCTGCAACGCTTGCTTTGTTCAGTGCGCGAGACGCGAGAGCACCCTCCCTGCGCAAAAGACGAACACTGGCCAAAGTGTGTGAGACTCCAGGCAAATTATTTTGAAGGGGAAAATTAGTAGTTTGGATTTAAGATTTTTGGCACACCAGTCCAGGAACTTTTTTTGGTCAGACCTCATTTCCTTTCATCACATTGCGGATCTTTTTTTTTTAATTCTTAGATTCAGCAATGACAAGTATTTTATTGACATATTGGTGCTTCAATCTAACCTTGTATTGCTAACACATTCTACGCATCCTCACACTATGTGGTCGTGTTTGAGTTATTTGTGCTTTTAAGCATCAACTACTGAATTGGTTACAACACAGGTTGTTTGTTAAGGGTCAAAGTAAATAGTGGCGACTGCTAAAGCGCTAAAATCCATCAAACTTAAAGCAGAAGTCTAAAAATGTCTTTACAATACTATGTTCTATCTTCCTGCACTAGACTAACGACAATATTCTGATTAATAATTAGTCTGTGGAATATGAGTTAGCCGAAAAATTCACGTGTTTTTATCCATCTTAGGGGATTGCCATTTTGCCTTGTACTGCCACTTTGCTGTTGACTGAAAGGGTCATTTTCATTTTCATTTGAAGTTTTGGTAATGGCATGATGTTGAGCTATCTTTGGAGAACCATGGTGTTTTACTATCAATTCGGTATGAGTTTATTCTTATTTCTGACATTTGTATTCCAATATCTAAACATTTGCGTGTCAATCCCGTCAGTCTGTCGGGCTGCCCTATTGCTGCAGCAACTAAAATGAACAAAAACCAGGACAAGCAGGTCCATCTACAGGCTGCAGTCAGCGAACCCACGTCCAACTCTGACAGGGTGCTCAGGTGAGACTTTTTTTTTTAATTCAGGGATTCGATGACAAGATTTGTTCAATTGCGATGATGACTCACTCCTTTTTCTTTCTAGGCCCATGTGTTTTGTGAAGCAGCTGGAGATCCCTCAGTATGGCAATTATGGTCCCAATGCGGTCACCACCACACCGCGAGCAAACCTGGCCAAAGAGTTGGAGAAATATTCAAAGGTGTCTTTTGACTATGCAAGCTTTGATGTCCAGGTGTTTGGAAAGCGTATGCTTGTTCCAAAGACAACCACCACCGAAACATCACCCAAAGCCTTCAAATGTAAGTAACACATCATAGTCGAGGAAGTGCAAAATTAGTAGCAAGTTATGCATGTGAATTGTATTGAAAATTGGAGGCTTCCAGTGTAGCACCTAGAACACGCTAGTAAAGGACCACACAGTCTCATGCTGGCTCTTGTCCTCAATTACAAGTTGAGGGGGCCAATTTTGTGAACATTTCTTGAAGGATGGAAGATCATAGTGCAGATTAGGGGTCACCAAACTTTTTTAAACTGAGAGCTACTTCTAAGATACCAATTAATGCGAATGGGTGTCACTTTGACACACACTTCTGAAATAATGAATCTGCTCAAATTTAAGTCAACTCAACTGAACTGTATTTATAGAGCACTTTCAAACAGCCATCGCTGCATACAAAGTTCAGATCTGAGTCATGCTGAGTCAAATGCCAAAGAAAACAAGCGAATTTTGAGGCGGGTTTTAAAGATGGGCAGCGAGGGGGCTTGCCGAATGTTGGATGGGAGGTCATTCCAGAGAGAGGGACCAGCAACGCAAAAGGCTCGATCCCCTCTGAGCTTCCGTTTTGTTCTTGGTACTTCGAATAATGTCTGGTCCGCAGACCTGAGGCGCCGGGCAGGTGTCTAGGGGCGGATGAGCTCAGAGAGGTAAGGTGGCGCGAGGTCATTCAAAGATTTGAAAACAAATAAAAAACTGAAAAGAACTCTAAAATGTATAGGGAGCCAGTGAAGGGATGCCAGAGTAGGAATTACGTGCTCCCTCTTACGAGTACCAGTCAAGAGGCGAGCAGCAGCATTCTGGACCAGCTGGAGACGCTTAATGCAGGATTGGCTGACTCCAAAGTAAAGTGCATTGCAGTAATCGAGTTGGGATGTGATGAAGGCATGAATTACTGTCTCTAGGTGCTCATGAGAAAGAAGAGGTTTTACTTTAGCCAGCTGTCTAACATGAAAGAAGCTGGATTTAACAACAATATATGTCACAGGTATAAAATGGAAAGGGCCTCTTATCCTGCCTCTTATCCTACATGTGTAGATGTTTCCCTCCTCCACCACATGTAATTCAAATGATCAGCTCACCAGCAACCTCTAAAAGAGCCTCACAACAATCCTGGTTGAAAATTAAAAAAAAATGTCAAGAAAAGGGATTTTAAGGATTTTACATTGTTGCATTCTTTCATGGCAATTACAAATAGAGTTTGCGTTATCAACACTCTGCACAATTAAAACTCATTGCTTTTTTTTTGTTTTGTTTTAAAACATGATGTTATCTGTTTACAGTTCATAAGTTGCATCTTTGGGCTTCTCTCCTTACTGCCTGCCTTCTCATGCACAACCGGCTTAGTTGGCCAGCGTGCGAAGAGTTACAATGCATGCACTTAACGTTGTATTTCCTGTGAACGTACGTTTATTACCGTGATGGCAACAAAAAAGCAACCGGTTGCGATTGATTATTTTTGCTTATGCAACCATGGCACTTAATTCAATGTAGGCCACACAGGAGAAAAACATTGGAGTTTGACGTGAAAATGTGGCTATAAAGTCCCATTCATTTGTGTGAGCGACAACATGCCCTTGAGTGAACATTTATGAGGCCCACACAAATACATAAATACCACTTGCATTCACTTGTTGGGTGAATAATAGCAACGTCTGGTAGCGCTACGATGGCATAAAAGCCTCCGTTTCTTCTTCGTTGTGTTTAATGGCGGCCTGCAATGTGAAATAGAGAACTACTGCCACCCATTGATGTGTGATGATTACTGCTTTGGCTGACAAACTTTTCATTAGAAACAAAAGAACTCTTTCATTTCTTTTTAATCACCGTATCACACATTTCGCACTTGACTCGCCAATTCATAAAGTAGATCCAAGTTCCCCTTGAAATGACTACGCAATCGTATTTAATGCTTCAGTTTTATTTACCATTACCCCTTTTGTAATCCTGGCTAAAGCTACGATAGGAACTCTGGGAATCAGTGTTGTGTGCCAAAAATTTAAAATTTGTTATCTGGGCTCACAGCTGATAAAAAATACTTCAGTAGAGCAAGGATCAAACATCAAGATGAAAAGATGGAAAGCTGCAAAAACAGACCATGTGTCAATGACATCATTCAAAGCTTTTTACAAAGCAGCAAATCAGATTGCTCTGATGTCCCGGTCACTCTCACATGGTGCTTCTGTCAGGGGATCACTGTGATGTATCTGTTCTAGTCCAACGTCTGAAGTCCAGCCTTTATGTTTATGTACATGATTTAATGAGATATCTTTCCCCAAAAATTGATAATGTTGAAGCTAACCTCTGCTCTACCTCGACCCCACGCAGCTAAATCCTTCCCTAAGGCCTCTTCCCCAAGCGGAACAGGCTCAGGAGGTATTTCGAACAGTACTTTGTCCTCCAATGAGTACGACTGCAGTCAAGACGCCGAGGCGGCCCACATGGCAGCAACGGCCATCCTCAACCTGTCCACTCGCTGTTGGGAACGACCAGAGAGCCTTAGCGCCAATCCCAGGGAGCCCTGCACCGAGGTACGCTGAATTCCATTACATTACAGCCTGCTTGCTAAATTGCAGTCTTAAAGGTACCCGACGTTCTTTGACAGCTTATATTCTGTTCTTGGAAAATTGTAGGAGCCAGATATTGAAGTGGATGAGAACGGCACCTTAGACCTTAGCATAAAAAAAAACAAGCGAGAGAGCATGCAATCTCCGGAGCCTTCGTCTTCCTCGTCGTCGTCTTCTCAACACACGCTAGGTGTTTCATCTCAGGGCCACACTCAGCCTGAGTGGGAGGGGCCACTCGACTTTACGATATCAAGTGGAGTAAAGGAGGAAGGCCACGATGAGGTACAATACACAGCCACTCAAAGTCACAGATTCAATGAGCACTTGTGGGCAGTAAAAGAGTAAAAAAACTGAAAAGAAATAATGTACATAAGCTGTTAAGTGGATCTTTTTTTTGTTTGTTTTTTACCAACTTGTCATCAGGTGGATTATACAGCTACCTCATACACGTCTTCTGATGTCGAGGATGAGGACCAGGAGAACCTGGAGAACCTAGAGGAGAGGAAGTACCCTGGGGAAGTTACCACCAGCAGCTTCAAGGTCAAGTTTCAGCCTAAAGACAGTAAAAAGGAGATCCTTGTGTAAGTACATCTGTCTTCTTACTCACAAATGTCTATCTGAAAGAAAATTGCCCCACATTTTTTCTTTTCTTTTTTTTGCATTTTCAAAGCAATTCCTTTGTACTGTTTTAATAGCACTGGAGCTTCTCCTCGTTTATTGCTCAAATTTGCCATGATATATAATATAATACATAATAAGATCATTTCCATACTGTGCGACGTAACTATTTTTCATATTTTCAAAACTAACACTTCTTAATTGAGTATTGTTTCGAGATAGCTTTAGCAGTAGTTGCTGGCACTGACAACTTCTGCCCCACCTTGACACTGTAGATGTCCCACTCCAGGCTGTGATGGCAGTGGACACATCACTGGCAACTACGCATCACATCGAAGGTAAGCCGGATCGACACTGGCCTGAGAGTAAATTCAACTGTTTCATTCAAAATGTAAAATTTAAAACACAATCTGCATGTTACACCAAATTGAAAGTCTTCCCACAGATCGTGGTGTCATGTGTCAACTAACTGAGACCACGGTCTTGCTAAGACTCATGAGATGAATCGCCATTATTGAATAGGTTGCGCATGATTGTGATTGTGAAGACAATATACATACAAGTGCTGCTCTAAAAGCGATGGGATAGAAAAGAGAGCTGTATTTCTCTCTGTCTTGTCTAGCTGGCTGTTTAATTCAGGCTCTGCTTCATTCAATCTTCCATTCCAAAAAGCCGACTCTTGGCCTGTTTTCTGATAGATTCTCTCTAATCTTCCAGTCTGTCAGGCTGTCCTCTTGCAGATAAATCACTACGGACACTCATGGCTGCCCACACAGTTGAACTAAAGTATGTGTGCTGTCTTTTGCCTCTCAACTTCATGTTCTCCAAGGGGCATATTCTCCCGTGCGCTGAAGTCAGAAAAGGCGGTCTGCCGTGCAATTTTTTTTTTTTTAACCGCGCAATTTCTCTTCGTTTGTCACTTACACATCTTCATCAAATCTACACAGTCCGGGCGGAGCAACCTAGAATAAAGGGCGTTCCCTGACAAATCTCGCAGTTTACGTATTCTCCTGGAGAACTAAGCATCTATTCTCTTGTGCGTTCCAAAAGCTCTACTAAGGTCTAGTGCAGGGGTGGGCAATCCTAGTCCTGGAGGGCCGCTATCCTGCATGTTTTCCATCTGTCCCTTCTCCAACACACCTGATTCAAATGATCAGATCATCAGCAAGCTCTGTCGAGGCCTGAACAATTGAATCAGGTGTGTTGCAACAAGGACAGATGGAAAACATGCAGGATAGCGGCCCTCCAGGACTGGGATTGCCCACCCCTGGTTCTAGTGCCTCGCAAAAGGTGAAATATATTGCACGTTTTGTGTCATTTGACAGCCGATGATGGCGTGTGATAACTGTCACCGGCCAACTGGGCTGATTCATGCTGATGGGGCAGGTTTGAGGGGGGCACATCTGGCCCAACTCAGCAACTGCCCAACGGCTGTAGGTGTGTCCCTACAGTACATTACAAGGATGTTCCGAACAGTGACATTATACCATCCATGTCCTAAAAGTTCAGTTATAAGCATGGTATTCTAATTGGGTTGCTTTTGTTGAATGGATTAAAAAGTGATTGTAAAATCACACTCTTTTAAAGTAGCCTGAAGATGAGCCGCACATGTCCCTGGCGAGTATCAGTTCAGGGTGTGCTATGGAAATTAATTTCACATTTCAAGGGTGACATATTTTCCGATGAAATTCACGTCTCGGGAAAATTCCGTAATCCGAGATTTGCAGGAATCCTCAGAAGTCAGCGCTCACACCTCTGCGCTGGGATTCACAAGTTACACATGGTGGGTGTGTCAGACGGCCGGCCGGGAGAACACTTTGAAAGTGCACAAAGCGCAAACTGGAGAATATGCCCCTTAGCGCTGAGTTAACTTTACGATTATTTTCCTGTTTTCACTATTCCATCTATTTTGATGGCCTATTGATTTTGATGATAATTTGGAGGAAATATAGGTTATGAAAGCATTTAAGTCCGACGGTCTCTGAACATCCTAGGTGCCCGACTCCTGGCTGTGATGGATCAGGCCATATCACAGGAAACTATGCCTCACATAGAAGGTATAAAATGTTCTTCAGCTGTGTTTTTCTTGATGTTTTATCAGCTAATGCCTCTGTGGTCTTATCTACCAGTCTGTCTGGATGCCCCAGAGCCAAGAAAGGTGGAGTCAAATCAAACCCCACAAAGGACGACAAAGATGATTCTGAATTATTGAGGTGAGAGAACTGAAGCCAACCCAACCACGACTGGAGCTGATTGGCACTGAGTAGTGGTGGGACTGATACTGGCACTGAGTAGTGATGGGACTGATACTGATTGGTTTTGTATTGTTGATTATTGCTCACGTGGAAGCATGATGGACAAGCATGCTTTTTCTCCACATTAATAAAACCCCCTCTGGTGGTGTGTACAGGTGTCCCGTCCCTGGTTGTGACAGTCTTGGGCACATCAGCGGGAAGTACGCCACCCACCGCAGTGCTTATGGCTGTCCGCTGGCAGCGCGTCGACAGAAGGAGGGTCTTCTTAACGGCACTCCCTTCTCCTGGAAGACTTTCAAGAGCGAGGGTCCAACCTGTCCAACACCTGGCTGCGATGGCTCGGGTCATGCAAATGGGAGTTTTCTGACACACCGGAGGTACAGTATCTTGATATTTTTGCCACTCGATATACTGGTGTGCACGTTATGCAAGATTGTTTCAAATGAACTATTTATGCCATAAACATGTCCTAGCATCATTATTTGACGGCATGCTTTGTCCTAGTTTGTCAGGTTGTCCCAGAGCACTCGCCAGTAAGAAGAAAGCCAAATTCCCTGGAGACGAGTATATCACTGCCAAATTCAGAGCGAGTGATGGTAAGACGTAACCCTTTCATGTTTACTTCTACTTCAAATAACCACAAGAAATTCAGGAGTTCATGTGACTTTTTTTTCCACCACAAACGTGATCCCTGAAAATAAAAGTAACGATGAACGGTTGTGTTGTTTCTTGGACTAAGTTCTGGATAATGATGAGGATATCAAGCAACTCAATGAGGAGATTAACGATCTGAACGAGTCGAATTCAGAGATGGAGGCCGACATGGTGAACTTGCACACTCAGGTGAGTGATTTTGTTGACGTTGGAAACTCTGAATGAAATGTATAAAAATATGTCATGTACTGATGGCCTTCCATACTGAGATCAAGACAGCAGATAAGTCCCAAGTCTTGTCATTTGCCTGTAATTTAACTTGCAGGTTGCAGCTCCTTGCCATGACCGTCAATATCAGTAGTTGTACTGCCCTGTGAGCAAAAGTATCAGGACATGTTTCTCACTGCTGTGTGCTGTGTTCTGTTGCCTTATTCCTACGACTCATTGTTCAAAAAAAAATAAAAATAAAAAATAGAGCTACGTAATAGATCTATGGAAGATTTTATGGAGTGGTGAGACAAAGATACTATTTACCAAGGTAATGTGAAGAATAAACTTTGGAGAAAATCTGCTTTGGTCATCTGTAAACCATTGAGGACGACTTCCTCTTGGACAGGCTCACTTGCGGTCTTCATTGATGAGATAACTCAGAATGGGTAGGGCAAAATGAATTCAGAACATTTTGTCAATCGGTGTAAAGAAAGATGCAGCCAAATTGATTTGGAGATGCTTCATTTTGCAGTACGATGATGGCTCAGAACACAGAACAACACAGGAGTTCATGAGGGGCAAGAAGTGGATGGCTTGTGGAATGTCAATCTCCAGACTTGAAACTCTAAAGAGCATGCTAACGGGCAGACTGAAGTGGTCAACGCCAATAAAATAAGCGAAAGAGGCTTCAGTGAAGGAAAGGTCTTTAAAAGAAGGCTTGATGCACTTTATTGCAAGCAAAGCATTTGCAACCAAATACTGTATGAGATTTAGTGGTTTGGAGAATGAATGAATGATTGAACACGTCATCAGTACCATGTCCCATGGTCTCGATTGACTTTTTGGGCGTTTTCTCGTGAGCAACACTCAGTGGTAGCTGCCCCGCCCCTGGTTGATCAGACCTGGATGTTTGTCGCATTGAAGGAACCTTGTGGTCGAGGGTTGCCAGGGCAGCACACCTGCGTACAACCAAGCTGTAGGTTGGTTGGAGAGGGCAGGACATTTCATAGGTGTCTCTGAAGATGAAGTTTATCCTATGCTCCTTGGCTTGGGATGCAGCTATGGCGCACTTGGCTTCTTCTTCCCTGGTGGCACACCTCCACCTACAAACAGTGCCAAGATTTAGATGCAGTACAGTAGCCGTTTGCCTTGTGAGTGTCGTTGCTCCCGATCTGAGATGCCCTCTGCCATGGTGGACATGCCTCACTAGGTCCCAGTGGCGAACAGTGGTCTATACTTCAGAAACCGCTTAACCCAGCCTCCATTTCTTCCCTGTTTCTCGTGCCGGAGCAGAGGTTATGTTTCAGTAAGACTGAATAGCCTGCTGATGGAGTTGTCTCTGTTGTAGATCTCTTCTATGGAGAACAACCTGAAGAGCATGGAGGAAGAGAACAAGCAAATTGAAGAGAAAAATGAGGCCTTGTTTTTGGAGTTGTCAGGCCTGAGTCAGGCTCTGATCCATAGCCTGGCCAACATTCGTCTGCCAACCATGGTAAGCATGTGTTAATGTTTGCAAATGAACACTAAATATCTTGTCTTTGTATTGTATTCAGCTGAATATGGGTTGAAAATAATGTGCAAATCACAGTATTCTGTCTTTAGTCATGTTTTACACAAAGTCCCGGCTTCATTGGAATCGGGGTTTGTAGAATTGTAAAAAGAAGTTCCATCAACCCATTTTCTACAGTGCTTGTACTAATTAGGGCAACCAGTCATGGGTGTAACCCGCCTCTTATCCACGGTCAGCTGGGATAGGCTGTAGCTCACCCACGACCCGTCATGACGACAAGTGCTGTCAAAAGCGGATCGATGGAATTTAAGGATTTGAAAATTGTTCCGCTGTCTGCATTCAGCAGGAACCCTTGTCGGAGCAAAACTTTGACAGCTACGTGGAGACCCTCACTCACATGTTCACCAATAAGGACTGCTACCAGAACCCTGAGAACCGGGCTCTGCTCGAATCCATCAACCAGGCGGTCAAGGGAATAGAGGCGTGAGAGATCCCAGAAACATGCGGACGTCCCCCCAGAGATAGTGTTAGTGAAGGAAGCTTCTCATTTGGAACATTGCCATCTGTTCTTTGTATATTTCTTTGTTCTCGTGTATAGTTTTCCTGTTTGCATGTTGCTTTAGGACAGTGAGAGTGGGAACACGCGAGAGGATGATGACACACTGCAGTCAAACTGCTACGGTGATGACACTGAGGTGTGTAGCAAAACATATCCTACGTCCACTCTATAATGGTAGTAGTATTCTGTAAGATCATAGTGACGTTCCACCTGCTGGACTAGTCTTTTCTATATTCCTTGGTACTATTGCTGTGTAACTATGTGTCATTTGCAAATATTTGGTTCTTTATGGAATATTTATTGTTGTTGCGCGTATTATCATGTTTGTCTACTATTATTTATAAAAGTCCCTGTAAAGTGAAACTAAAAACACTATAAATTTAAGTGTGTTGTTAAAAAAAAAAACTGTCAAATTTTAATGAATGAAAAATACTTATATCGCAAAGTAAATACAATGAAGCTTTGAAATTGCGATAAAAATCAAGCTCTTCCCTCAGCTCTAAGATGTGGGCGTGTCCGTGTTAGCTGTCAGTCAAATATATTAATATATCCTCCATCTTTCTAATGCCTACATTCCTATATGGTTGAGTGGCTGGAAAATATCCCACACGTCATTGTGGGACTTTTCACTGCCACACCAAGTGGCACTAGCCATCAGCTAGCTCGTGGTTTAACCCTTTCATGCACCAATAATGATAACCTGCAACCTGATAAACTGTCCACTGTAGTAATCGCTGTCCCTGAAAGGCGATAATGGAAAATCAACAGTTTATTAAGCCCAGCTACCTAACTGCAAGCTATAGTGTTAGAAATGACCCAAGCAATTACAACGAAGTTTGCGTCGGATGGGAAAACCTCGCAGTTCGTATAAAATAGGGGAGGTGCAAGACATGCGTCACTGAGTGCCGTATTTAGCCACGCCCAGAGAAGAAAAACCAGGAAAACTGAAAGGCTGGAAAATAGTTTTTAATTTTTGCACATTTTCAGCAATGAACTTAAAGCATGCATAATGTGTTTACAAATTGCTGAATTCACTTTACAGGGTCTTTGAGTATTTATTCACTATTTATTTTTAACGTGTTACTTGAGAAGATTTGAAACCAGGAGACAAAACTCAAGTAAACATGAGAAGGGAAACAATTTCCCCTGCACTGATGAACAAAGGAAATATTTTAAGATATCAACTATGAATTGTTTTATAAAGTTATTTATTTAAAACACTGCAATCTTTTTACAGTAAATGCAAACATTTTGTATATGAAAGTTTTGAAATAATTTACTAATGACTTTTATTTATTGATTTATTTTTTGGTGCTTGTTTTTATGATTTTAACGATACATGTGGTGGAGTACTTTGCAACTCACTAAGAATATTGAAGTGCACAGGTGTGTTGATGAACAAAGTGACGTGTGGAAACAAAGTGACGGTGAATATTTATTTAGTTATGTCAATGTGTGATGATGACCGTGTGGATTCTCTTTGCTAGTTCTTCAAATAAACGTTGACCAATATTTTGGACGGTGTCTCTCCAACTTGACATCTTTTGCTGGGGACACATTGAAGGAAATTCATTTTTTAACTGCTGGTATACAAATGGTTGTTCTCTGGGGTGCCTATCCATCGAGTGTGCCCCATGGATGGATTTGTTTTCGCGCTGTTAATCGTAGTGTAATGGGGGTTATCCACGCAGCACTTATATAGCACACTCGTGCTAAATGCACAGGTGCTCTTCTCAGAACTTTTTTCTCGGAGGATATGGATGGAATGAAACCAGAATAGACTTGTTCAATTTTTTGAACAATGAACTGCCTGCATTTATTTAATACAAAAAAAATGAACAATCACCCTTTCACTTCCCTCAATGTCCTTCGTTTTATTTCAACCTCTGGTTTAAAAAAAACTAACAAAACACAGAGCTCTCGAGAAAATAAACAAAACACTGTTCATCTACCTGGAGCGTGTGTTTTTATGGAGCAAGTAATGTTTCAACTTCTTATCTGTTGGATGAGAAGTTTCAAACTACCTATGTCCTCAAAACTGGTGAGATGTTCCACTCGACCTGGGCGGGCGTTGACAGTCGCAGTCACTGTTCTAATGCATATTACTGCCACCTACTGGACTCAAGAGGATCACTGAAGCCAGTGAGTCAGATGGGCTTGAAACGATTGGTCACCCTTGTGGAGGTCTGCATGACTGAATTGTTTTTTTTAAATCAACTAAGAGAGTGCTTCATTGAATCTTGGTTTGAATTATGCCAGCCTTAAGACAGTGCTGTTTTCTATCACTACAACTAACGCTGAAATACTGTATCGACAACTTGAAATGACTGAAACAAAATACTGTACTGTTCTTTACTCCTTTAATGGTTAAAAAAATATTTCTTTGCACAGACAACATGGAACAAAAAAAACAATGGCCACCTAATAATGACTGGTGGAACATGATGAGGTAAATGTTTTTGAGGCGTGATAACCAAAATGTTAGCAAATAACCATGCCTCAAAATAATAATATTAATAGTCAATAAAAAGAATATCAATAATATATAATTACAGCTAAAAAGAACATCTGAAAATGTGCAAAAAAAAAAAAACAAACAGCCAAGTAATAATATACAAGGCAAATCTTGCCTGTCCGACCACTTTAGTGGACTTCAGCCTACCCGAGAGACTGCCAAGGTAACTGCAGCTCTTTGACATTATCTCACCACCAGACAAGACACACAGAGCTTGGAGGGCCCAATGCAATCATCATGGCAGAAGGCCCCACAGCCCTGGCACATGATCATGGCTTTGAGGCGACAGGAGCACTTGAGCGACACCTCTTCGGCCGTACTGTCAGTAAAGGTCTGGATGCTGAGCGTGGCCTGGCTGGAGGCCAACCGAGGCCGCAGCTGCAGCACGCCGTCGGTCATGTTTCGGGAAAAGCTGCTATTGTCCATGACGGATACATTGGCGGTGTAACTGACACCTCCGAGACCCCCACCCTGCTTGGAGATTTTTCCATAGAGCTGGAAGGGGAGGGAGGAGGACGACGAGTGATAACTGGAGGAGTACGGAGCTTTGCTGAGCTCATTTTTGGCCATCCGAGACAAATTCATTTCCATATTAAGCAGTCCCTCCATCGCTCCTCCACTGGGGTATCCATCCACAGAACTCACAGGCTCTTTCTTGGTAACAACAACAGATGCTTTAGCAATTGCCTGGCAAGAAGGCTTTGAACCAACTTCAGTCTTTACATTGGGAGCAGGGGCTGGCTCTTGTTGGTTGGCAAGAGCAATCTGTGACTGGGGGGATCGCCAGTTGATTTTAAGACGAGGCACAACTTCTGTGGGACAGGGGTCCGCATGAGGTGGAGATGGGCCATTCAGTATGGTCCTCTGAGCAGACTGACTCCTATCTGGAATAGCTCCTTGTGATGGCTGACGGACAGATGACTCTTTGATAATTGTCATCTCAACAATATGGTTAGAGGTGATGGAGGAGGCCGTAGTGAACGGCGGTGAGGTGATGACCGGGACAGCTCCAGAAGCTTGCTGGGATTGATACTGTGATGTAGTTGGAGTCGCCATTAAACATGACACCGGGTAGCTTTTCTGCGACTTGACTTGAGAGGCAACGGTTCCTTCAGAGTTAGGTAACTGAGCTCCCGTTTCGGCCCTGTTGCAGGGTCTTCGCTGGGGTCCTACCGATCGGCTGATTTCTAGCCTGTCGGCAGAGTGTGGGGGTAGAACTTTATCCAGGGGAAGGCTACCTTGCAGAAGCTGGGTCACTAAAGGGTTGTTGGCTTCCACACTGGACACTTGTCTAGTGGAAGTGGACACTTTCTTTGAGGTTCCAGAAATACTTGAAGGATAGCTTGAGGCCTTAATCTGTCCATTATACCCATCTTCAGCAGAACCCTGTCTGGTGCTTTGGCAATCATCCACTTGTTCAACTTTCACAACAATGTTGTTCTGAGATGGCCGATCTTGGGAAAAGGTCTGGCTTTGTGGAGCATGAGTCATACCGTTGGGAAAGCAAGGCTGAATGACTGTTTGACCAAAGCAACTGGACTCATGGGCTTGGATGACTGGCTGGTGGTTCCGTGGGGGGCTACAAATGGTCTCCTGCAACTTTCTGTGGCCTCTCATCTGGGAACACCAATCTTGGTCAGGCTGCTGCTCATCCACCTGGCTCTCAGTCTCACAGTCTGAAGCGGTTTCTGTAGAATCACTATGAGTCCCAGCCTCATCATCCCTGCCTGAGTAGTCCACATGAGGCGATGATGCTTCTGCTTGTTGTGTTGTGGCGGAGTCCGTGTCAGTGTCCTGGGAATCCTCGTGATGAGAAACGTGTTTAATTACACTACCTAAGCCTCTCTCTTTCTCGTGTTTAAGCTCCACAGGCGTCACAGATCTGACCAGCTTTTGGACAACCACACCCTGAGCCCCAAACCTGGGAAGAGAATCTGGGATGGAGGTTGGAGCAAGTAGCCTTTTTTCCCTTGCTGGCTCGAGCCTCTCTGAGGGGGAAGTATCAGAAGCTGCAATCTTGTTTGGTCTATCGAGCGGTGAAATGGCATAATTTGCCACTGTGTCAGTCTCTTGAGACGGGGGGTCTGTTGCTGGCCCCGCAGGTCTGTCGGAACGGGTTTGAACACTGGATGATGTTGGGATGAATGCTTCCTCGGCCACAGGAATCCTTCCCACCCCTTTTTGAGGAGGACTTGGTGTCTGTGGGTGCTCCGAGAACACAGAGGTTGAGGTAGCAGGGGGTGTTGGCAAAGGCAGGGATTTGCCTTCTACATTGGGACGCTGTAGCTGTGTTCCAGATGAATTCGTTTCACAAGTCTTTCCCTGCTCCTGTGTCCCACCACCTCCCCTTCTTCCACTTCCTCCTCCTGGCTCAATCGGCCCTGGATGTTCTTGTGCTCTCTGTCCACTGTTGCTATCCGGTAACCCAGCAGCAGGCCGCAACCGGACCCTGTTCGGCCCTGGCCCGTCGGCAGAGGCTGCAACAGCAGCAGCGGCTTCCCGCTGGGCACGGGCTTGCTGCGCGCGGGCTTTGATGTCTGCGAGCGTCCTCGCGCCCCCCGACCCCGACCTCCGCGAGGCCTCTCCAGGGGGCACGATGCGGGGACAGATCTGGTAGGTGGGGTGCCCTTTGATCCAGGGCGGTTTGATTCTGGACAGTTGAATCTGTGGCAAAGAAACCATTCAAGTAAGTTTCATAGTGTAACTGTATCTGCACATATATGAAACCGGCTCTTACCCGGATTGGAGGCACCTTGGGTTCCTCCGTTGTCGGCTGCGGTTTCTCTGAATGGACCCTGTCAATTGTGGTACGAAAGGACTGCTGGTCATTCAACCGTGGCCTCTTTTCGGGGAAGCTGGAGAAGGCCCGTGTCTCGTCGGGCCTTCTCTTCTGTTCCTTGTGCTGAGCGCTGGGTGCAGGGGTGCCTGCTGGGCTATCTGAGGGGCTGCTTTCCCGGCTGCTGGTGGCAGTTCCCCCTGTGACTGAGGTGACCGCAGACGCAGTGTCATCCAGGTGATCCGTAGTGACAGCGGCACCAGACGACACTGAAGAGGAGGATGAAGAGTCCAGGCCAGTGGTAAATGCTCCCTGTTGATCAGAAGCTGAGGAAGGTGAGGACGAAGGTGACGAGTCAGAGGAGGAAGACGACGACGATGAGGATGAGGTGGACGCTAATACAGGTGCAACCTCTTCGGGGAGCAGACAGCCTGAAATGTTTGGTTCTTTGTCATCGCTGGTGGATGCTGGGCTGGGAATAGGTGTTGGAGTTGGGGCTGGCAGTAGGACTGGTTCAGGAATGGGAGTCTTTGGCTCAATGGATACGTTGTCTGGTGGAAGCTCCTCGTCACATTCAGCCTGGAGCACCACCTCCCCTTGAATAACCGTACTTTCTGACATTGGAGAACCAATAGAGACCGTCGAGGTTTCCAGAGAAGCAGCGTTCTCAGCAGCTTCTGCAGACTGTAGGACTGGAGAGCTGGTTTTGCAGAGGGTCCGACGTGCCCTGCGGCGCAGATCAGCTCGGGTGCGTCTCCTCATCCTACCATCTCTCCTCCGCCGACCTACACTGCGTCTCTTGGGCACACCGGTTGACACCACGGAGACGCTGTCACTGTCCAGGACAGTTGCTGCAACTTCACTCGCATCACTCATTGTGAGCTTGAGAGATTCCTCTTTTGTCAGGCCAGACCTGTAGATACACATTCAGCATTATAGTATGAAAATACAGTCTGAAACATTTCCGCAGTGGCAAGACAACCATGATTGACGTGGCTTACACAAGAAAAGCAGAAAGTCAAAATGAATGCACGCAGTCAAATTGAAATCTATCAGGACTGATCCGGTTCTTACTTCTGTCCATGGTACTCCTCAAAAAACTTTTCCTTCCAAGCCTCAACCTTCTTCTCTTTCTCCATTTCCTGCCGGAATCGCACCTGCATCTCATGAGTGAACTCTCCTAAAAAGATATCGAACATGAGAATGTTCAAAAGAGACACACTGAAATTGTGTGACGAATGAGATACTCTCTTTGGTGGGAAATTCAAACCTTAGCTCTTCACACTAGGCAGCATTTGTACTACTCTAGGGACTAAGTTAATTACCATCCCAACCATAAACACATTTTGTCTTGTAAGCCCTATTCAGTCTTTGCAGATTATTGGTTTCATCATTAAGCCATCAAACCAGCTGCAAGGTTGGGTAAATATTTTGATATGTTCCCACCACCATCCTTCACCAAGGTAAGGTACAAGTTTTACCAATGCTCAAATATAGGTGCAAAAATGAAGAAAAATAAATCATTTTGCAAAGTTTAATTCATTCCAGGCCTAAAGCATTTTCTTTCCCTTGAGGAGGCACTACTTACCTTCAGCTAACCTCTCTTTCCAACTTTGGGAGGCATGTGTAAAGAACTCATTGTTGAGGGCCGAACTGCTCAGTCTGGCCATTCCATCTGGTCCAATCTTCATGGAAAGCAGACAAAATGTAGAGATATAGGAAACAAATGAAGAAATAAGGAACAAATCTGCATTATCAAGATTATATTGCTTCAAAGGAAACAATATATAGTACTTAAGGTTGGGCATAACTAATGTGCTTGATGTGTTGTGGACTAACGTTGTACAATCAAGGCAGTGTTGAGTAGTCAGCATTCTTGAAGAAGGGGATGGCAATTCATTGGTCCACAAAATCGTTTAAATGCTATCCCAAGTTCTGAATGACTAGAATATGGAAATATGGCAGTCTTAAGAAGGAAACAGGTTACCTGGCGGTCCACTTCTGGCAGAAGTTGGAGTAGCTGCTGTTGTGACTGGGCTGGGAAGGCTGAGAAGGTTCTCACGTTAATGAGAGCCCTTATGTTGGTGTTGACAAGAATAGACCCTGGTGTTTCAAAGTCCACATCTACCCCTCCCCGGCTGCGCTTCATCGGTCCTAAAGACAACAAAACCACACCTAACTATTAGCTATTGCAATCATCTGATTTAAGGTAAGTGACATGAACATTACCCGAGTATTGCTATTCGAAGAAAAAGGGCAAGTCTTACCTGGGGGTACATGCTCTCCATTGACTTTAAGAGGAGTGAGGACAACACGTGGCATCATGACTGCTTTCTTCCGCTGCCGCCCTGACTGTGGCAGTGATGGTGAAGGGTTGGACACAAGAAGTGAAAATTCCACATTTAAAATGTTTTGCGTCTTTCTGATCATGTGAGGTTCAAAGCCCACACAGGCAGACAGATGTAAGTGTTATCATAGCCACTCAAATTGGGCAGCCTCTATTGGAGAAAGGTCTGACCTGTCGGGAACGGCTCAGTCTGGTCTGGGTGTGCTGAACATGTTGGACCTGCTGACTGTCAGTCCGTCCCTGCAATCCTGCTGCTCTGCTGAGGCGGGTCTGAGGCTGGCTGACAGACTGGAGCTCCGTGGAGACGGTAACACTGGAGGAAGTTTCATCGGCCAAGGCTGTAAGGCCAGACAAAGAGAAAGACTTACTGAACCATTTGGCATAATCAGATACAGTAGATGCTTCGTGCCACACATACCGTAATTGCCATTTACAAATAAAATATGCTTGCTGCTATATGCAGATTGATGACTCACTTGCCAGTCTTAATTCAATGATTTAAACTTGTGATTCGCGCGTAATGTTACCCGAATTGGAGGCGGTGGTCTCTGTGGAGTTGCAGCTTTCCTGCTCAGTTGTCTCAATGGGGCCAACTGCTGCACCCTCTGTGAGGGTGGTGTTGCTGGAGGTCGGGGTAGCAGCACTGCTCACCAGCTCAGATGGTGTTTCTGATTCTGAAGTCTTTGTCCACTGCAGGGCATTCTTCTACAGATCATTAAAAAAAAAAAAAGTACCGGTAAAGGGAAAGTCAATCATCTCATCTCCGAAACTAACAGACAACACAGGTATAGACACCATGGATAAGTACAGTGTTTAAAAAGTGAGTAGAACTCAAATCCTTATAGTACATGTATTTCTATACACTTTAATTGGTAATTCTGCAAATTCTATTCCAAATCAAAACATTTTAAAAATCAAACATGTTAGTCATTTACATGTTATGTCAAGATTAAGATCCTAAAATTGGGTTGACCTCCCAATGTTGGTGTTGTGGGAACCAAGATACTGCCATTTTATTTTAACAGCCTACCAGCAATAGAATATACAATAATTTATTTTTTTTGTTTTTAATTTTGGAGTAAAATGTTCCCTTTCAACGATTTTTCAATTTTTCATGTCTGAAAATGACTACTAAAGGAATTTTGAGATTTTCTGACTTTTTAAACACTGCTATTATACAGAACACAACCTTATGTACACGTTGTGTAGTATCAGTAGCACAAGTTCAGCTGCCGTTGAACACAAGTATGAAATCAGTCATTTGCATGTAAGCAACTTAATGCATTTAGGGATGTGGACGTGATCAGGACAATCTGAAAGTGAATAAGTTAAAAAGGTGATTCGTGTGACTTGTGTGTTATGTAATGTGGCATGGTTGTTAGTGTCAGACGGGCTCGGCTGAGCATTTTAAGAAACTGATAATTTACTGGAATTTTCGCATACAACCACTTCTAGGGTTCCAGCGTATATAGAATGGTCCATAAAATAGAAAATAACCAGTAAATAGCAGTCCTCTGGTTGAAAATGCCTCACTGATGGCAGAGGTCACAGGGGAATGGCCAGACAGGTTCAAGTTGAGAGTAATCATACAAATTACCACCTGTTACAACCGAGGCAGTATGTAGAAGAGTATGTCTGAACGCATAACATCAGCAGAAGACCACATCGAGTGCCACTCCTGTCAACGAAGAATGGGACATTGAGGCGACAATTTGCACTGACTCGTTTGAAAAAAGAAAAAAAAAAAGATTCCTGGTCCGCCGAATATTATTTGGGGGTGGAAAACCAGGATGTTACATACTCCGCTGAATGGCATGAAGAAGAAAAAAAACACTCGGTTGGTGTAAATCGGGAAAGGGAGAGATTAGACACAGATTTTAGAAAACTAATCAAAGATGGTGCACTCTTAATTCCCGGTTTCCCGATCTTATTGACAATACGAACTCAAGTTCTGTAGGCTCCTCGCTAAGCAAGGCTTTGACACTCAGTTATGTACATAATGTGTTATTCGTGCACATTGGTAAGCGGATGCACTATATGCACAGACCGTTTCCGCATTTGGGCTACAGAGGTGTGCTAACTTCCAGTCACTAGTCTAATGCAATTTTGTGCGCAACCACCAAAAAATGTGACTCGGTAAAGTCTAAGATTGGCCCGAAATTCCGGAGGGTGGAGTTTTCATGAGACAGAAGATTCCATTCCATTTGGAAAATACGACACTTTCAATGTGAAATTAACTTGCGTAATGGATCAAGAAGTCATACTCTTCATTGCCAGTGACTTGTGGGCAGCTAATCTTACAGGCTACTTTGAAGGAATATGTGTTGTTGCATTCTGCATTTAATAAATCTAACAAAAGTCATTTAATCAGAACATTGTACACATGACTGAATGCATGTTTGAAGCAGCTTTATACGTGTGAATGCTCCACAAAATTTACACCGGTGTAAGATATATTGCAACAAAATACATCGGTGCAGCGCCGATGCAAATGTGTGCCGTGTGAACATCCCTTCTGTTGCAACCTGGTGAAGACACACTGTGACACTCTAAGCTCAGGGGCCACTTCCGTCTGAGAACGTCTTGTTTGAAGCATCACAATGGCAAGGTACTGTTGAGTCATAGTTAGGCGCCGTCTTGGGTCCCATGATGTCAAAATGTGAACAGCATGATGAGCACGACTGTTTAAAACACCTGCTCCAATTGAACCAGGATATCTATTCGGCGATTCAAGGATCAAACGCCTGTTAAACTAAACCAAAAACCCAACCAAAAAGTGTGATTCATATTTTGAAACAATGTTTGTGGGAGGACGGTGCCGTTGACATACCTTTAGAGTGAATAGGCTCATCCGTCCAGGTAACTTAAAGAAGATGCTGTTCTTTACCCGATCTCCCCTCACCTGGGAGTGAAGCATTGTCACCAGGCAGGCCAAAGGTGCTGTACCACTGTGGATAAATATACACAATACAAACAGTATCACAGGTACTGAGTATTAGGGGGGGAAGAAAACAGTGCAGCGAGAACAGCGTGTCACCTTGGGTCGTGAACGCTTTGAAAAATTACAGAAAATACATACTGTCATGTTAACCATGGGCATCTGTCATAAAATCAAGGTTTTTCCTGCGATCAAAATGATGCGGCAGCCGCCTCCAGCTAATTTTGTGCCACCCGCAGCCAGACTGATTGATATCACTCGATCGCATGTCTCGTGCCTGTTCCCCGTGTTAGTAATTGTTTTCTTGTGACTGTTTTTTGTTTTTTTTTTTTTTAAAGAAAATTCCACCAAGATGACAGCTCAATGTCACGGTGCAAGATGAGGAGTTTTGAGTTATACACTTGCTTCTAAATATACATGTACAACATACAGCAACGGTTGTGTCTGAAAGGGGCCAACTGCTGTGATTTTACGTAATGCATTTCTGCAGTGCTGAAAATAAAAATGAAATATCGCAACTAAATAAACACATATTGTATGTCCACAGAATCTGTCGCTATTTTAATATTGAAGGTGAATGTCTTGTTGACAGTTTTGGAACAGGGATGCAATTTTTTTTTTTTTTTTTGCTTCTGAAGCATAAGCTATGTCCTAAGGTTTAGTGTGATGTCTTAGCAGAACACATATGGTAATAGATTTGTAAACAATTGCTAATACATACCTTCTGTTCAGTGCATCAACGGGTGAAAAGAGTCCATTGAAATGAAAAAGAAAATCTGAGTTAAAACCACATTGACAAACACGTTATCATAGCATCATGCAGAACATTCAAACTAACCAGAGAACATTGAGACAGTTTCAATTTGGAGGACTCAAACAAAAACACAAAGACGACTTGATACACATTTGGAGCATTTGGATACATGGGGTCCGAGAAGTTTCAAGAGCGATACATTTTTCAAGCGAAACGATTCTGTGGGATTAGGATCCGGTATGTTACGGCTGTAGCTTTTTTCATGTTTAAGTAACAACATGTAAAAGCACTCTAAAGCCAATTTCTATCCAGTGTGCATCTCATAAAATATGATACGATTCGATATGTATCTCGATACATGGGGTGCACTACGATTAATTAAGATGCTTCAATTCAATTTGGTTAAATCAAAACAGATTTTCTGATTGAAATTGTTTTGTATTACACCCATAGTAAAAGAATATAATGTACTAAAATGTTTTTCATACATTCCATTACCAGTTCAGGGTGTACACCGCCTACTGCCCAAAGACAGCTGGGATAAGCTCCAGCATGCCCGCAACCCTTGTGAGGATAAGCGGTTCAGATAATGGATGGATGGAATTCTCCAAACATGCCAAAAGTTTGGCACCAAAGACATTTTGCAATTAGAAAGTAGAGAATTAATACCATTTCAGGGATTCAAAAATAACATGTCAGATATTTAGTCATATCTTCACAAGAATTAATCAACCATATATGAAAAAGAAAGGCCACAGGGATAGGACAATAAATATTGCACATTCTTTCCGTAAACAAAGGCAAGTACTTTAGTGAAGCAGCAGTATATGGGATATCAAAAGTGTATACACCCTTCAAGGTCCGAAATAACATTTTTTTCCCTTGCGGATCAATTTTGATAATCAATGACTTATTTGAAGGACCAGTTTTCTACTTTTGAGAAGCAATGTTTCAGCAGATAAATCCCAGGGCTGTGAAGCAGGGGTTTTATTAAACAATGAAAATGTAAAAGTAAAAAATCAAATACTGGCATCATTTTTTTCTTTTTTTTGCATATTCACAGTTCGGCACCCGTGAAATCCCATATTAATTACATTAATTTATATTATAGCATTTTTTCCCAGTGTTGCACCATAAAAATGGAAGACAATATTTACAGAAATGTTAGGTGTGTAGTCACTTTTATGACATACTGTACATACACTGAGTAAAAATATTCCTGGGTTAATTTAACAGGCCAGGTGACATAAAATTTCTGTGCATGTGTGTTTTGCTGACCGCATTTCCTTCAGCCCCTTGGTCTGAATGACATGAAGAATTTGTTTCGGGGTCATTGGAGCATCTGAGAAGTTCTCCAGCACCTGCAAAAAGAGAGGGGCCATTCATAAGCACACTCTGAAAACTATGTTTCAAAATTAAGAACGGGCACTGAGTCCAGCTGCCAAATAGCGAAAAAAAAACACGTAACTGACAGTGCCTCAAATGATTGTAATAATTTGTCTTAATAGTTCAAATTATAGCTATACCACAAATTACCCCAACACGGAATAGCACTTCAAGATGATTTTATATTTACCATAAAAATATGTTATAGATTATTTGATTAAAAAAAAAAAATGCACAGGAAGTAGGCGTGTTGCCTTTCCAACCACCCAAAATACTATAAATGCGACACTTGTTGGCTTGAGCTTCTTAATAGCCTCTCAGCACAGCAAATGCAAACATAAAGACAATCCATAACGCCTGCTAACAACCTATGCTAAACTTGGCGCCTCCCCAAAATAGAGACCTTCAAAAAGTTGAGATCCAGTCCTTCACCCGAATTCTTTGACACCAATTCCTATTAGCTTTGACGGCATCTAAGGGTGTTACAGAAAGAGCATAAAATTGCTAATTGATGAGTTTTATGGCAAATAGCAGATAGGTTCGACGGAGGGGATGACCAGTGCAGAGACAGAGGCTCAATGTAATGTGATAAAGAGTAAGATACCTTGATACAATTACAGCGGACGCCCGTATACTCGAAGTTCGTCACCTGCGAATTTGCATATTTGCAAATTATTTTCAACTATTTTTATTTTGTAATTACTTTTATTCTTTGTTTCATCTGGATTTCCTCCTCATTTTGTCATGGAAAACACATATTGAGTGTTGATCAGAATTTTCTGGGTTAAATCTTTTTTTTTCTTCAATGTGCTTTTGTTTTTCTTCAATGCATTTTCAATGGGCATCATTGGTCCCTATCCACCCACAATAGTGAGGGTCCACCGTGCACTAAGAACAGACACTAATACAAGATATGAGTGTATAAAACTAAGGGTGCAAGGATCACAATTTTCTGGCCGATCACCAATTCACGATTTTTAAAAAGCCTGACCTGCCGATCATGATTTTTGCTGATTCCAATTTTTTTTCATAACCAAGCATAAACCTTCAATGGTCCAATTTTGTTTTATTGTAAAACAATGAACAATACCTTGGAAACAATATAAACTGGTTGTTTTAACTCGGCGTGCAACGATCAATCCGCCGGGATCGGGTTCGACACCAAGTTTCTTAATTTTGGAGGATCTGGGATGGGCCGATCCTTTAAAATAAAATCAACCTCGTGCATTAATTGTATCTTATCAAGTTCTTCTCTAAATAAAAATGAAAACACAATAAGTCATCATACAGCAGAAGCCAACAATGGCTGACATTTTTTTAACCTCTGCGGAGGTAGATAAACCCTGATTACGATCCTGGACGATCAATCTGTACACCATTAAATAAACTATCTTTGTTTAAAACAAAGTCTCGTTATTGCTAAAGTACATTTATTCAACAAAATAATAACCACGTTTAAAATGCCACAAATGGCTGCAATTCTCTGGTTAAAGGTACTGATTTGAGTATCATTTTAGTTACCGGTAGTTGCTTTAACACGAGTGAAGCCCATCTGTAAGACTGTACTTAAATCTCGTCCGGTGTTCAACATTAATAAGTACACTCTCGAAGGATTTGTAACAAAACCTCTTACAGAGTCATTCTCTGGCATCCCACACTACACCCATACTACAAAACACTCCCACAAATGTGGGTCACTGATTCACACACACGCGCAACGTCTGGAATTCACATTAACACGCCCACGGGTAAAAAGGCTTTTCAATTCTGACAAAAAAAAAAAAATACTCGTGGTCGCCGAGAAATGGAATAAAGCTTTTCACACACTTTACTCGTTTATGTTCAGCAGTGTACATTTTAAAGATTGCACCATTTACGTGTGGATGTACAAACCCATGTCCGTTCACCGTTATCTTTAAACGCGACTGGCCATGTTTTTGTTTTTAATAATAGGAAGAACGTGCTTGAATTTCTCAGGTTGTAATGCTCGCTCTCTTAATGCTCTCGTGTGGCGTACCACCATGGTGTCTTCATAACAATTCGGGTTAACGAGATGTTTAAGTGGCTAAAGTGGCTAGCTGGCAGCCTAGCAAACAAAGAGCTCTAAATATAACAGGCAACATTTAGCCTGCTGGCGTTCGTTAGCACGGTGGGCGAAATGCCATCCTGCTTTACTAGCCTTTGAGCCATACAATCAATGAAAATAAGTGTGCACTGAAGGACATTTAACCAAAACACAGCCAGCTCGCTATACGGGTTAGCAATGCTACACCCAGCGGCTAGCTTCGATGGATGTCCAGCTTGTCTAGCCCGGAATGTCCAAAATCAACCGCGACGCAGTCACCTCAAAGCAATACTTACGCAACTTCCCCACAGCTAACAAAATGCTCAAAATAGACGGCTTACCATGCGAGCCGCCTCAGCCCAGGTCCTTTCCTTCTTTCTCTTTTGTTTGTCCTTCATTTCCTCCGCACTGGCCTGCCGTGACTACAAAGCGCCTTGAAGAAGAAGACGGTGGCGGTTTAGCTAGATGCTAACACGGCTACGATGTTCTCGGTTGGCTATGTGGAGCCTTAAAACAATACGAGTGCTTCTCGTGCTGTCGGCCCTTTACGACGCCAACCACGTCCGGGTGTATGTCGCTAGTGTGTAAAATACGTCGGTGGCTGTTACTAAATAAGCGCAACGCACATAGTGGCGATGCACCAGAAAGGCAGCGCGATTGTAGCCAAGGAAAGCAGTCTGTGCCTGTGGAGTGCTGCAGCGCAACAAGCCTCGCAGGAACGCGAATACCAGGTCAAAGGTCAGCAGCGCCAAAGCCCTGCAAAGAACCAATCGTTCAAACACGATATTTTATTTTTTCACGTCTATTCATGCAGCCTGGCCACCACAGCAAACACAAGCTTTATTGCATGCAATACTGTAGTCTTATAAAAGCAATAAGGATCATGACATACTGTATTATGGAATTTTTTTCATGTTTTTTTTAAACTGTCCTGTTCTATCGCTTAATCATGCAGAATGGAGGACCTGTGTATTTTCTTTTTTTTTTAATGCCAGACAGTTTTCAATATACTCCTCTCTGTGTCTGTTTTTGTTGCATTTCTTGGATCGATTGGTCACATTTTTTTTAAGTACAGCTTTCTCAACCACTCGTGAAGTAGGGCGAAAAACAGCAATTAAGGTACTTTAATGCTGTCGGATGTGGGCAAGGAGAGCCACAATTGTACTTTTACAGAAGAGGACAAACACTCAAAAGCACAAATCTAAAATGACAACACTCCTGAAGAGCTGCTGTATGTCACAAACTATCTCCAGACGCTCATATTGAACGACTCAGCCAACAACAGTCATCACTGACATCACTTTGTTGGAAAAAAAATCACACAAACAACACAGATACTACAGTATAAACAGTAATGACACTTTATAAAATTAGTTTATTTATTTTCATTTTTTCAATCTTTTATGTTTTTATATAATACAGTGCTAATACGTCGGTGGCTGTTACTAAATAAGCGCAACGCACATAGTGGCGATGCACCAGAAAGGCAGCGCGATTGTAGCCAAGGAAAGCAGTCTGTGCCTGTGGAGTGCTGCAGCGCAACAAGCCTTGCAGGAACGCGAATACCAGGTCAAAGGTCAGCAGCGCCAAAGCCCTGCAAAGAACCAATCGTTCAAACACGATATTTTATTTTTTCACGTCTATTCATGCAGCCTGGCCACCACAGCAAACACAAGCTTTATTGCATGCAATACTGTAGTCTTATAAAAGCAATAAGGATCATGACATACTGTATTATGGAATTTTTTTCATGTTTTTTTTAAACTGTCCTGTTCTATCGCTTAATCATGCAGAATGGAGGACCTGTGTATTTTCTTTTTTTTTAATGCCAGACAGTTTTCAATATACTCCTCTCTGTGTCTGTTTTTGTTGCATTTCTTGGATCGATTGGTCACATTTTTTTTAAGTACAGCTTTCTCAACCACTCGTGAAGTAGGGCGAAAAACAGCAATTAAGGTACTTTAATGCTGTCGGATGTGGGCAAGGAGAGCCACAATTGTACTTTTACAGAAGAGGACAAACACTCAAAAGCACAAATCTAAAATGACAACACTCCTGAAGAGCTGCTGTATGTCACAAACTATCTCCAGACGCTCATATTGAACGACTCAGCCAACAACAGTCATCACTGACATCACTTTGTTGGAAAAAAAATCACACAAACAACACAGATACTACAGTATAAACAGTAATGACACTTTATAAAATTAGTTTATTTATTTTCATTTTTTCAATCTTTTATGTTTTTATATAATACAGTGCTATTGTTGTTTATTAAAAACTTTGACCCCCAATGCTGAAAGAGATAAATGGTGTATTCCATCAAAGAAATGTAATGGATTGATGACTTTGTGGAAGTGAAATACAGCAGTGTCAAAAAAGTAAAATGATAACTAAATTAATTGATAAATAACTATTCTTTTCTACTTAAAATGAATACGAAGAAGTCCTTTCACATTGGAATTTGGCATACAGGAAGTCCAGATTTTTGAACCCTCTTCACTGCACATTCTACTCACCGGGATGCTGAATTTGTAATCTCGCTATCACAGCATGCATGTAAAAAAACAAGTGCAATTTTCTGGCAGCCGTTTGTTCATTGTGAGTAACACAGATACAGAAGGAAAACTTCAAATCGCCTGTCCCATTTTGTCCTTTCTGTTGCTTCACTTTACTTTATCGCCAACTCTCGTACTGCTCCATATCTCTGGGATGCATTTCTTGTCAAAGGAAGGAAGCTCTTTGAAGTTTTAGCATCGTAGACAAATGGCATCTGCTTCAAATCAACAGAAAATGTATCTCAATTAATACAGATGATATAACATGATGCAAAAAGAATAAAGGGGCGTGTAAATAAAGGAGAGGTAACATTAAAGGGTTATGCATGAATCAGTCGTGACTCGAAATGAGATGTGAATTCGTCGTTGTAAATGGATGCTAAATGAGAATATTTGGATTTGAATCTGAGCAAATGCTTTAATATTGTCACGTTGTCGCACAGACTGAATGGAAACTCAGTATGTGTGACGTTAGTACTAACTCTGGGGATTGCATATGCGTCATGTGAAGGCAGGCATGCTGCTTGAACACATTTTACTTTCATGAGCAATGTCGCACCAGAAGGAAAGGCAGGGGAGATGCTGCCACTTTTAAATACAGTAATTATGTCAGTGTGAAAACATTTTATATGGTGGCTTTAACTCCTTGACCTATCTCAAAAATGTCACTAATGACAGAGGCTGATTCCCATCAATATTCAAAAAGTTGCTGAATCCAACATTTGTACGCAAGCATTAGTTGCTCAGTGAGATACCACCTTAAGACGACCTAAAACACCAGTGCACTATGATAATGTCCTTGAAATCAAAATGCAGGGAAGGACAGTGTAAGTGGAAAAGAACTAACATTCCAAATTCCTTTCCACTTGTATAGACATTATCATTGTAATTTGAACAAAGCGTTTGTAAGGGCTGAAATCATGAGTAAAAAAACCTCAACAATACAAGCACTCTGTTTGCTCTGGTTAATAAACTCACTAATCTCTAAATAAAATTGTGCTCGAGCTCCTCTCAACAGATAAAGATGATGAATTTGCAGACTATTTTAGTGAAAAAGTACAAACCATCACATCAAATAGCACAAATCACAAAACCAGCCGGGAATAACCCAACTGCCATGTGAGAAATAGGGGAAACTGTTCAGTAGCTGAAACTAGCTGTCAACTAATCATCTGAATTTTTCAAAACTCATTTGGGCCTTTAGGGACTGCCTGGTGCCAGTCGGCACCTCGTTGGTGATCCCTGGTAGAGCGGCTCTTCCTACACAACTTCAAATACACATTAGTAAATAATTTATTTTTTAAACCAACCAAACGAACAAGAAATTACTGTTCTCAACCTGTCAGCACTGACGTAAGAATGAAAAAGTTTGTGGTCGGGCTTCACCCGGTCGTTTCAGTGAGCCCGGGGTGTGACGTCACACTCCCAGAATGCACGGCTTGCAGCGCGGCGCCAGCAGATCAGGCCCAGACTCGCTCGAATAAACATCTTCTAAAACCTTCATCTGTCCAAAATGCCCACGTGGAGGCCAATTGGAGCGTGGTGGAAGGTCGGGGTGGTGCGCCAGGCGGTAAGAAACGTCTGCTGTGTAAATGTTGACTTGAGTAGGACTTTTTAGCCAATTTGCTAAAGTGATACAGAGAGTTAGCTCCCGCAAGACAAACTCCGACACAACTTAGTGAAGCGGACGACTATTGTTATTAATTTGTCATTCTTGCTCGGTTAAACTTCGGACATTTACCCGCAGCCGTGGGAACAAATATGTATACCGATGTGGTGCTTATCGAGTAATCCACAAGTGTGAATTTAACTCAACATCCGCCACCGAAATTCACGAAGATAAGTTGGGCTAGCAGACAACTTTAGCCCCGGTCAGGTAAGTTGTGGTCACACATTCGCTCCAGCTTTGGAACTCGTAGCTTCAGACCAGCACCAAACATCTATAATGCCGCATATGTTTATTAAATAACCCATATCCTGTATCCTTCCAAATATTTGGCGATCGTTTTAAACAGTGTTGCGGACTCTTGACGGAGGGAAGCCAAGTGAACACGAACGTCGTTCTATGTGGCTCCACAGGATGGCGCTGTTGGTTGATTACGTCCTCGTAGTGATCGTTCACAAGCGTCACTTCTCCTAAATCTCGAAAAAAATCAAACAAATGCTGCCAGCCTGCCACTCCCTCCAAAAATATACTTGTTGCATTTGAGAAGTCGCGTAAGAGAAAGGTCCAAGAGATAAACTCTCAAGTAAATATTGTTAACCTGTGGGTTGAGAGTTATGGAATACAAGGCACCAAGTTTTGTGGAATTTAAAGACCAAATTCAATGTTTGCTTTACAGTACATTTAGGGCAAAGGTAGAGCATGAACTGGCGTGACGAAACCTGGGTTGCGAGCAGCTTTTGCCCAAACATTTACAGACAGCATATGGACCAATCTATTTCAGCAACTTGTTTATTTTCTGTCCTGACATACACGTGTTGTTAAATCAGAAATATTTACTGCTAGCTACCCATATTAGATTCTTATGCTGTTTTTAAGTACCATTACAGGAAAATTAGCTCAAGTTGTATTTTGAGCTGACATTTACAAGGCCTAGCTAGCTGTAGTCAAACTTTTTAAAGACTTTTTGTCAACTCAAGCACCTTATCCAGGGTCAATCGTTATTGCTTGAGGATCTAGGCTGCATAGAAGTTCACTACTCAATGGTTGAAATGGTACTCAGACCTTTGGGCTAATTGTTAGTTTTCCATCTACTGCAGGAATGAGTCGAACTCTGGTTGAAGTAGTCTTTCCTTTCTTGTTTATGTGCAACATGCAGGGTTGACCCTCCACTGTTTAATTCCCTGGATTTGTACTCCTTTGTCTTCCAATTGCTAGCATTTGTGTATGCGGTGTGCGTCTGTATTTGAGTTTTATTTGGGAAATGGTTACATAATGTTTTCATGACATGTTCTTTCATTTTAATCTGCTATTTATGTATTGGAATGCATGAGGAAATCTAGAAATCGAATGGGATTTGACATGGCCATCTAGACTGTATATTTCTGGTTTAATTTGATTTATGACAGTCTGCTGTCCATAGTGTGCTCATATCTTCTGCAATATTACAAGAGATGAGAGATGGGACTCTAGCGGGTACTGCCTGTTGTTTGTTATTATGCATGCTTTTTACTCAGTCATCTCACTTGAATTCAGGTAATGTAATTTGCTCAATATGGCAATCTCTTGTTTATCTTTCAGGTCTTTTGAGATGTTGAGCTTCCTCTGCTGAACACCAACGGACTCCGCAGCGAAAGAAACTGTAGTAATTGCAGCCCTCTTGGGTTGCTATGGAAGGTGCTGTCACTGAAACCAAGCGCTGGACACAGGCCTGTCCCACCAAGGCAGGACAGACCACACGTCATTTCCACAAGAGATCATTAAATAGTCAACAAACTGCACTTAGTATTAATGCAAACACACAGAGATAACACAACAGTCTAGGACCAAAGAGTGGATGGCCAGCTAGCTGGAGAATCCTCATGAGTGTTGCTTGTGTGTGCTCCTACTCACTCAGTTCTTCTCCAGCGACACAACCAGCAACCTCCCCCGTGGGACCATGTTCCACCAGCAGGAACAACTGAAGGGGCAGCTGCAGGATAGCCACATAGCCAACAGGCAGCTGGGTTTTCACTGCCAGGAGTGTGGGAAGCAATACAACACTCAGCTGGGATATAGGCGGCATCTAGTGGAAGCTCACAGTGCTGGCGCGGGCCTGTCCTGCTCGGAAGGGGCACCGTCGCTGCTGGAGCACCTGGGTGGTGGCCATATTGACAGGCCTCCATCAGCAGAGGGCAACAACAATGCTGTTGTGGCGGTGAGAGAGAGGAAATATTCCTGCGAGCGATGTGACCGCCGTTTTTACACCCGGAAGGATGTACGTCGCCATGCTGTGGTGCACACTGGACGCCGTGACTTCTTGTGTCCTCGCTGTGCTCAGCGCTTTGGCCGCAGAGACCACTTGACGCGACACTTGAAGAAGAGCCATGCGCACGATGCAGGATTGATACCACTGGTGACAGCCAGCACTCCTGTGGCGACATCCACGACAACCACCCAGTGTCCCGTCAAGGAATCCAGCCCTTTAGCCTCGGACAGAAGCTCCTCCACCTCCAAGGAACCTGTGGAGACTTTCACCAGGGACATGTTCAACTCCTACCCCATTACCAGTCCAGTCCCCGGGATGAGTCACCCACATGGCCTCATGCAGGTCTCTCTGTCCTCAAGCATGGGAGTCAGTCGGCACATGCCCCCGCCGTCTCCTCACAACCACCACCATCATCACTTGCAGCCTCTGTCGGCGCCTCAGCAGCAGTCGTACAGCAACGTGCCCAGGTACCAACAAGGATCTACCTCATATCCTCGCACTGACATGGACAGTTTCCTGCTGGATCTGCAGGGTGCCCCTCCTCCCCACCTCAGCTCAGTCAACTCTTCTACCTCTACGTCCACCTCTCCTCAAAGGGAGATGCTTGCTGAAGGGATTGCTGTCGGCAGCGATCCCCACCTAGTGCCCAGGAATGCTGAGCTTTCCTGCACTACTAACATGGAACTTGGGCCACTATTGGGCTTCTTGCCTTTCAGCCTGCCGCCGTACAGCTCTCATGTAGGAATGGGCGGGTTGATGATGGGTTACCCTCCTTCCACCACCGCCACCACCTCGCCAACCTCTTCTACTGGGTTATCCTCCCAGTCATCCGGGCCTTTCACCTTCTTCCAGCCTCCTCAGGCTCATGTGCCCCAGGGGTCTGTAGCCCACAACCATAGCCAACTACCTCAGGCATACAGCACTTCTGCTGTCAGCACTTCTAGCTCCTTACCTCATTACTACCAAGCCTTTCAGCAATAAGCAGTTGTGTGTTCTCAAACTCGTCTTCACAAATGCGTGTTTTTCCTGTCAAAGGTCAAATGGCATCTTTATCCATACGTATATGTGTCCTGACTTTTGTTACTGCGATAGATTATTCTTGAACACAACAAATCACCTCATCAGTATTACTGTATCTCGTTATTTAAAAAAAACAAAACAAAAAAAAAAAACACTTGAATGCACAAATGTTGGCTATCTCACTACAACCAACAAGAGTAATTCTTTCAAATCTCCGAACAACAGTTAATGCACTTGATTCCGCTCTCACAACTATGTGGTGACGACCTGGTTTGACGAAACGAAACATGTAGCGCACACTTACACATGTCACACGTGTATAGACACCTTGAAGCACTGCGTTCAAAGAGGACCCACCAGCATAGTGACATAACCGCCATGGAATGCTCTACCCTTTGTTACCATGTGTTTCTGTATCACTCATTTAGAATGCACTTAAGTTTAGTTTTCATCATAACATACCTTTTTATTTTTCAATGGCTTCAAGGCAATTGGCGTTTGTGATGGATAAGCAGTTTCAAAACTATTTCGATTCTCTGCAGACTCAGGTTTGTTTTTGTGACAATTGTCTGTTCGTTACAATGGTGACTATTTGGCTCAAAATACCATTGAATATACACTGAGCAGCCAGAACATTATAATCACCTGCGCAATAAATTGATATCCAATATTGGAGCTGCGTCCTGCCTTTACAAAAAAAAAAAAGGCGAGAGTAATGATCAACTGAGATAAATTGTGTGTTGCTTCGTCGTGAGAGCTGTGTCTGAACTGAACGTTATCTTTGTCATGGTAGAATGTTTGATGCAGCGCTTGTATTGGATATCATGTGGTTGTAGCATGACTACATTCTTATCCAAAATGTCTTACAGGGAATGTAGTCGGTCACTGTGCAAATCAGGAAACTCACCTCAGGAGCTTGACTGATACTTAAAATAAAATGCAGTTTCTTTCTTGGGGTAATGATAATCTTGTTGTTCATCCAGGCCGGTGTACTCTCAGGGAATTGAATCGCTAGCTACTGGACTGTTCAGGTTGTCTGAGAAGACGTTTAGCTCCTCATCTGAGCAAGCTTCATCAGTTGATGCTCAAGGCTTACTTTGTAGATAGGACAACACAAGATAACTGACAGATGTTGCACAGTGCCCTTCTGGCATTTGTTTTTTTAGAAATCCATTTTCTGTAGTCCCTTAGTGGCAAGAATTCATTTTACTCCCGCAAAAAAATTGAAGACGTCTACGGTGATGTTTTGTCAACTCGTTGCTGCTTTCAAATGTTGCTTCCTATTTGTTTCCAGGGTGTCCCAAATCATGTACCGTAGTTAGGAGATGCATACCAGAGATTGATTAGCTGAAGTACTAATCAGAAATTGGTCCAATGAGCTCAGTTTTTCAGCAAGGATTTATGGGTAAAGTGTGAAAATGAAAGTCAAATGCAATAGTAAAACATGATTTTCTCTTGATTGTTGACAGAACACATTTCTCAACAATGTGTGGTGTCATGTATGTCCACAAGTTTAAATACATTTGTGATAATGAGAAAATTATTCCACCGCTGCGGCGTTTAAAGGAACCAGCAAACCTTTATAGTCACCGATAACCGTTTCAGTCATCGTGTGAGGTGGAATGGCATAATGGAGAAACATTTTTTTCTGACTCCATGTCATTCACATCAATTACAATTGCCATGGGAGGAGTTATTGCAGCCCGAAGTATAAAGAACAAATTTTGTTCCCCCCCCAATTCCCTCACCCCCAAAACGGTTGGCTTTCATAGCCAATTGTACTTGTGGAAACTTGGATGTTCTGAAGTGTCCAAACAGTTTTTTTCCTCATAAACGTACCGGGATGTTTTTCATATAAAGTGCCAAGACTTAAAGCTCCAAGTTTGAAACATTTTCCCCTGCAACTTCCATTTTGATCTGTTGAATGGTACTAGCATTGGCCTTGAGTCTATTTGCCATTTGTATATGTTTTGAGGCAAACTATTGCGCTTAAACCTAGTGAGGCGACCTGGGAAAATTTTTAAAAAGTGTAATTTAGAAACTTAGCTCTTCTGGATATGAGCAACTATGATCATTGCTGTTTTGACTTAGCACGTCAAAACTATTCTAGAATATGTGTTGCCTTTTCTCCTACTATCCATGACCCTGTCGGCCACTTTTTCCTTTGGCATATGGCTGGCTGGCTCTCAAGAGCTTCGAATGAAATTGGGACTAAAACCCCACCCCCTCATCTTGAAGACTATTGCAATCCATCCCTTTTATACTCTAATCACACGGTCAAGATTAATGGATCCCAACCGGGATTCCAGTAGTGAGAATTCCCTTCACGAACATTGCCACAAGTTGCAACGACTGTTGTGATACTGGAATGAAGGCATGCAAAGAGATAATGCTATCTCTTTGAAATCCATTAACTCTGCTGATTGACTGTTCCACTGGCATTGTCACGAGCCTCACTGTTGCATTGCACCAATGTCAAAATGCTACTGTTGTGTGTGTCTCTCTCTCAAAGAGTGTCTAATCTCTTGACAGGGTTAAAGCACTTATGACATTTCTGAAGAAAAAAAAAAGGTTTATACCTCAAACACAGAAATAAGGGTTTCTGTTTTTCCTTTATAGTTCTAGTTGTTTTGGCGCTTTTTCCATTTAGTTTTAAACTTTTGATGGTAGCGTTTATGAGTTAACTCTTAATATAGTGGCAGACATTGATTATTATATAATAAACATTCTACCTCTATCTTGTCATATCCTTCTGCAATATCATTAGAAAATGTTGAAAGCTGTAAGAAATTTTACCACTGAAAAAGATTGTGTTGAAATTTAACTTTGAAGGACAGGCTACACACTCTGATCAGAGGTGTAGTCCATTGAATCGAGCATTGTTCTGTGTACTGGCCTTTAATGATATTTCAACTTATTTACTACCTCAGAAGTGACAGGCAACTGCTTATCTAACTGCAGAGAAAGTGTCTAGGATTTAATGTTTTGCTTGCTCTAGCTCTATAGTGTAATGAGAGCACCTCATCGCGTAATATCAAGTGCAGTCCGTTTTCTGCTCGACTGATGTCAAGTACCGCGCCAGCCTGTAAATATAATTGTTACATGTAGGATAGCAGGCAGGATTCGGATACTTTGGATTCACAATGGGCAACTCCTGAAATGAACATCAATTGCCTCTTATGTTACACATCCTGAACTGAATCACTTTCAGTATTTTTGTGTGAGATAAAGGACCCCCGAATATTTTCTGATGTGACAAAAACGATAAATGCTTCTTAATAGGGTTGGGTTGTATTTGGCATTTTAACAAAAGACATTCAGCTAAATCATTCTTATGTTTTGCTGTTCTGAATGTACATCCTGAAAGCTAAAAACAACTGTTAAAAAAGCTTCTCACGCTGTCCTTGCAGGAAAACTTACGACATCTCATGTCAATATGAACATTGATGCATCCGAATTAGACTAATATACTCCAGACGTAGCAAAAGAAAACAACCCGGTTTTGGTTCAAGTTACTGTACTTACAAAATGCAAGGATTTCATGTATTATGTAATGTCAGTATGTAACATTTTAAGCCTGTCCACATTGTGTATGACATGTTTCACTGTGGTCCAGGGTCAAATATGTGTAAACAACTTTGAACCTGTGTTTACTTTCTCCTGACTATGTAAAAACACAAGCAAGACCCCATTTTCCATCTGTAATTGTGGAATACTGTTAGTACTCTTTGGAACACTAATAGGCTGGCTGTGAACCAAGCGCTCTCATTTTTTTTTCTTAGTTTGCATTATCACATCATAGCAATTAAGACCACGAAGGCAAGGTTAATTGTTATTTTCTTGTCTAAGCAAAACAAAATAAATATGTCCTGTAGAATTACTCAAAGTTGCAGTGGTTTTAAATTGGAACTGGAACTCAGGAAGGTTGTCGAATAAACTGATTATGGACAAAATAGTGGGGTGGGACAGAGTTGTTTTGCACAAAACATAATTGAAAAATAACATGTACACCTACCATTAACTAGAATGTCTCTGGAGTAAAAGTAACTCAAAGTAACTAAAGAATCCTAATTGAGAATGTTACACCATCATACAAATTTTGACGTAATTTATAAATAATGAGGGATTTTAATGAGTTTTTAAAAAAGTCGTGTGGTATGGACTTCCACGCAACCCTAATGAGGACAAGTACTGTAGTCAATGGATGTATTTTAATTTGGCAGAAATTTCATTCATCCATCCATTTTCAACACTGCTTATCCTGAATAGGGTCACAGGGTGTCCTGGAGTTTATCCCAGGTGACTTCGGGCAGAAGGCAGACTACACCCCGAACTGATCACCAGTCATTCTCGGCACATTTAGAGACAACCAACCATTCACACTCACATCCACACCGTGACTGAGTGGGAACTGATCCCATGCTGCCCCGCTCACAAGTCAGGTGAGTGTACCACTACACCATTAGCAAATTGGCAGAAATTTCATTTTCAATTCATGAAAAGCAAAGGTGGTAAAAGTACTCACTCACACTCATATTTAAGTATGGGTACTCATGGGAAAAAACCCTAAAATGTACTAAAAATACAAACTCTAGGTACTGTACTTAGGTACAAAACAAATCTACATCCAGTTCCGGTTTCGATAATTTTGCACACACAAAAAAACTGCTTTATTCCTCTATGTCACTTCAATTTCTTTTTGTAACGTGTCTGCAAAGTCTGAAGGAGTAATTAGCCTGTTTTGACAAAAATACTACAGCTAAGTTCGAATATATGGACTAAATGAAAAGGCTGTCCGAAATTGAAATACTCGGGTAGTGTTCGGCCACCTGAAAAGTGTACGTAAGTACAGTAACGAGGTAGTGGTACTAAGTTGTTTACCACCAAAGCAGAAACGGTAGTAGTTCATACTCCGGAGCAGCAGGTGGCGGTATTTGCGTGACGGGGCTGTTGTAGAGCACAAGACCATCCCGGAAGGTGAGAGGGGGCGTCTCTGCTGGGTGCTGTGGAAGTGACATTATGCTGCCTGTGGCGTTATTTTATGTTTAGGGCATTACATTCGAACATAGCGACTCCCGCTGACTTTAGTGTATTTGACAGCGCCGTGCACTGAACGTGAAAAATAGATTTGTCTATATCTGTGTTTCTGGACGTGCGCGCTAACGTCACTTTTTCCATTTATCCATTGAAGTCACGGCTAAGAGATCAGGATCGAGGATGCAAGTGGATTATTTGTGAAGAGCGAGCCCTATTCACGGTAAGACTAAGTGGTAATGCAGAACTGTTAATTGCCATCAGACGCAAATTAAGTTGTTGCTGGTCACGGCCTGCCCTCTAAACATTCACTGCGTTGACATGTTAGTTGGGCCTCATAAAGTAACCCCTAATTACGTAACGACAATATTTCACACCTGTGTGATTTTAAACAAAACATCAGATGTGTCAGAACGTGTTAGGCTTTTTCATTTCTGCTCTGGTTGCACGACCAGCTCTTTGATTGTCCAAAGGTATCGCGTTAGGCATATTCATATTTATAGGCGTCATTTATAGTAATTTTGCTTCTTTTTGTGACGCTGCTTATACGCTTTTAACTCTGTCATCAGGCCAGACTCCACACGCAAAATTGAAGTCAAGCCAGCGGCTACAGCGATCGTTAATAGTTAATACTAACCCTTACGGTAATCAGCCTCCAGCGAACGGCGTTGGCCACCTTCAAAATAAAACTGTTCTACCCTTGCATGCACGTTAGTGTATAAAATAACTTCTCAGCGGTCAGGTAACGATGAGTCAATCCAGGGAAAATGTCAACTGTTTCAGACTCGCACTAAGAAAGGTTGAGATAGAAATAAAAGTTAACAGTGACTCTGCATCGTTGATTAAAAATTACACCTGATTTTTAAAAAATCATTTAAAATGAATTTTCGTTATCAGACTAGTCCTAGGGAACACTAGGCCACACTTGTTATTCAACCACAGTACTGTACTTTCATTAGGATCTGATGTTGAATTTCAAAATTAGAAAAAAACTAAAATCCGCAATTTTGAGTTTACACCGAAATTAAAAATTCAGTTTTCGTTATTCCGCAACCAGACCAGGTCTAGAGCACACTAGGCCACCGACGGTATTCAACGAAAATACTTTTGTTAAAATATGATGTTGCATTCCAAAATAAAAGTCCTCTAAAATCTGCAATTTTGACCTTTACACCTGACTTAAACAATTATCAAAAATTCAGTTTTCATCATCCTGCAACCAGACCAGGTCTAGGGCACACTAAGCTACCCTAGTTATCTTGTTATCCAACGACAGTACTTTCATTAGGGTCTGATGTTGCATTTTAAACTAAAATGCCTTTGAAATCTACAATTTTGACCTTGACCCTGATTTAAAAATAAATAAATAAATAAAAATCAATGTTCCTTATCTCACAATCAGACCAGGTCTGGGGCACACGAGGCCACACCTGGTATACATTTCTATTAAATTAACCTCAATTCCAAGGTAATTCCCATGGAAAGTTTCCTATTTGGAATACTGTATTTCTCAAATCTCCTATCTTAACTTGCCATGGAAAGTTACAGGAAACGTTCCCGAAATGTACACATCCCTTTGCTTTCCCAGGAACAAGAGATCAAACTTGCATTTCCTCTCGTTTCAAGTATTTTCAATACAACAATACAATACAATACAATACAAATGATTCCTGCAAGTTAGTTTGTATTGCTTCTCCTCCACCCAGTGCCATGTCTCTGGTTTTTCCACGGCCCAACACCAACGCAGTCCACAGCAAGAAGGATAAGAGACTAATGGCGGAAGTGAATGCATCGCCACTCAAGCATTTTGTCACCGCGAAGAAGAAGATTAATGGGATCTTTGAACAGTTAGGGGCCTATATTAAGGAGAGTGCATCATTTCTGGAAGGTAACTTTGCTTATGTTATAATTTTAGGACCACAATTGCTGCTTGCATGATTAAAAAAATTATCCAAACAAATTTGACACACACACACACACACACACACACACACACACACACACACACACACACACCCCAAACGATTTTAATTTTACCCAAAGTAGGCTAATAATGAATAGTTTTAGTGTTCATTTTGCTTGAAATAGAAAAAGCTTTACACATGTTTTGGAGTTGTGTCTTGCACAACTGAATAACATTATTCATTGCTCACTCTGCTAGATGCTCACAAAAATGAAGAACTGGATCCAGTCACTACGGAAGAACAGGTGCAGGAGGTTCGAAGTTACCTCACCAAGGTAGCAGGCATTGGAGAAGTGCTAGCGCGAAGGCATATGAAGGTGGTGTTCTTTGGGAGGTATGTTCCTCTTTTCAAAAGTTCACATGACATTTTGCTTCAGGTGTTTAAAGTAAGGCTCCACTTGCAACTCGGGATTCAAATTCAAATATCGATCTCAGAAGTGTGAAGCGGATGTGCTAACTATTCGACCACTGTGTCACTCTCTTATTGTTGTTGTTATTATTCTTGTTGTAATAATGTGGAAAACAATATGGAAATGATTCGCTCATGTTCTCTGTTATTTAGCGCGAGTTAAACTCTGGTCGCTTTTTTAAGAAAAAGCCATTAGGGTATTTGGAAAAGTCACTTAAGATAGTGACCAAATCGCTATGTTGGCAACATTAACTACAACAACAACATTAAATTGCCTTTTTTATAATTGTGAATTTTCAAGTATTCTCAACATTTGTCTTGGCATGTGTGTACTATAATTAAGAATTTCGTAGCACGGAAGGTTTTTTTTAACCTTTAAGTTTTTATGCTCTAGGACCAGTAATGGGAAAAGCTCAGTCATCAATGCCATGCTGTGTGACAAAGTCCTGCCTTCTGGTATTGGCCACACCACAAACTGTTTCCTGAGGGTGGAGGGAACGGACGGCAATGAGGCTTTCATTCTGACTGAAGGCTCTGAGGAGAGGAAGAGCATTAAGGTTGGTCAAACTGAGTGCTTTTTTAATGCAAGCGGGCATTACGAGCAAACTGCCCTCACGCAAGGATACTCACTCTTGTGTCAACACTTCCAGACGGTCAACCAACTGGCCCATGCGCTCCACCAGGATGAGGATCTGGAGGCTGGGAGCTTGGTCTGTGTCATGTGGCCTAAAGCCAAGTGTGCTTTGCTCAGGGATGATCTGGTCTTGTTGGACAGGTCAGGCATATATTGTAGATATACCTTTACATTACACAGCTAATTTACATGACACTAGAATGTAAGCACCAACAATGTTTTGGGGAAGCCACCACTGCTGATATACGAAAATGTGAAATTTGTTCTCAAAGCAAAATAGATCTACACACCAACTATGCATCAATTTAACCTTATGCTTTTTATTTATTTTTTTTAAATAATAAATTCAGCCCAGGTATTGATGTGACCACAGAACTCGACAGCTGGATCGACAAATTCTGCTTGGATGCAGATGTGTTTGTCCTTGTGGCAAACTCTGAGTCGACGCTGATGCAGACGGTGAGATGCGACCATTTTCGATTACGTATCCTCTTCAGAGTCACTGGTTAACTTTAGCCTCTCCCAGTTGACTTAGGGCGAGAGGTGTTGAGCACTATGGACTGGTCAACAGTCAATTGTAAAGTAAAGCCACATAGACAAACAAAATGGCCCTTCCCATTCACACAAACTTCTCATGAAAAGGTCAAAGTAGAGACTCAAACCCAAAATTATTGAACGATAGGCAGGCATGCTAATCACATAGTCCGCTGTGCTGCCCGGTTTCCGGCTAATGGGGTCCAGCTGCTTTTGAATCCATGTTGCATTGACATGCTCATGATTTCAAGCGTGTCAACTGTGTGTCTGCAGGAGAAGTCGTTTTTCCACAAAGTCAATGAACGA